CATGTGACACTACACGTTACATTCTTGACTTATCATATCATCTAAAACAAAACAAGTTTGTGAACCGATTTCTAAAATTCTTGTATTGTTTGAAAGGGAGAGATGGTCCCATTTCCATTAGGTCAGGATCTGACGATGGAATCCTAGGGAAACCTAAGGGAACTTTCGAAAATTGTAGGGGCGAGTAATGAGTCTATTATATTTTTCAATTAGTATTTTTAAACACTACAATTTGATAAGGGTCTGGAATCGACCTGATGAGAGAGCCGACAGACAGTCGAGAGAACTCCTCAACGGTTTATATAAACTACCTTGTGTTTAGTTTAGGCTTGATTAATGTGTATTTATGAAAATTTTACACCTAAATGGAGTGGGACTATTATTAAGGGTCTGATGATGAAGAAGTGTAATTGTTAAGGGAACTCCTCAACGGTATACAGTAACTACCTTGTGTTTGGGCTTGATTAATTTATATTGATTGGAACTTTGCACCTATGTAGATTATGAGTGGCAAAACGGATCTACGTGGCTTTAAACTAAAAATGATAAAATAAAAAAATAAAAACTACGTTTAAAAAACTGACTTCAAAAAACCAAAAACTTATAACAAACAAAAAGTAAAAACTAAAATGCAAAAAATAACTATATATTATTAGTTTTGATACGTTACCCACCCCACCCACTGATACGTTAGAAGTCGGTGCCAACATTTGTTTATGGTTTTCGAGGACGTTAAAACCGAAGGGGCTTTGAAAATGTAAATCCAACATGGCCGCTGCGCGAAATTTTCTACTTTTCGTCATAGGTATCATTTTGGTGGTTTTCTAGGTTTCGTGGTTTTTTAGATCATCGTTACGGCTAGTTATATTTTTTTAAAAACAGTCCCCACCCTAGTATTTTCTCGTGTGTCGTGGGTGCGTTTATAAACATACAAGTTCACATACACATGACACCCAGACCCGGAACACACAATCTGTGGATCACACAAAGAGTTGTTCCGTGCGGGAATCGAACCCGCGCCACGTTGCGTGATTGAAAGTGATGTTAATGAGTCGGTTGCCCAGCCACCGCGCCAACCGTGTACTCAAATTGAATAATGCATAGCTCCGAAAATATGGTATTAGGCTGTTTTTGACTCAGCCGTATTCAATTCTGCTAATCAATCAGCAGTATGTATATTTAATGAAGTGTTTTGGATATTTAACCGACTGCAAAAAAGGTGTTTCGCAATTTGACCTGTATGTTTATTGTTTGTGCTCGTTGTCTTGTGATTGGCTGAACCGATTCTGATGCAATTTTCAGAAAACTGTTACACTTGGGAGAAAGTTTAAGTATATTAAACTGTCAAACACCAAGCGGTCACCGGTGACCGCGACCTGTTGTTCTTAATTGTGTCTATAAATACGGTACTCGACGAGTTAATTAACCGAAAAATAAAAGAGGGTTGAAGTCGGTTTTATGAAACGTAATTTATAAAAGAATTATTAACATGTAATACACGTTAGTTTTGGCTTTCCGGTCAAGAGTGCACTACAAGGAACATTTATAAATACATAATATACTTCCACCGATTGAGCTGAATGTATACACGTTCGGTTTGCGTGACCATAAATGCTAAGCTATAGGTACATATGTGTCGCGGAGAACCTAACGGGTTACTAGGGCTCCGGCTCGACGTGCAGGAGTAGGAACGGGGTGGTTTTTAGTCAGTAAGAGTCTGACACTCCCTCCCGCCTCACCCAGGCGGAAGCGGTCATTCGATGATTGTCCCCCCTTAAAAAAAATAAAGAAATAGGTACATATGTATAGGAACAGCTAAGACAAACATATTTTAAAACAGCCGAGTAAGAACAACAATACAAGATAAATCTTATAGTAATTAGGTACCAAAATATGTTAGGTATCTATTAAGGTCAGTCTTAGTCTAGTCGTCTTTTGTCTTTGATGACCTTCCACGTCTCGCACTCGTAAATCAGCACGGTTTTGACATTGGATTCCAATCATTGTGAACTGTATCCTTCGGGGCAATTTTCGTGACTACCAAACTGGTTCATATGCGTGAAAGTAGCTCGGGCTTTGGCGATCCGTGAGCCGATAACCTCCTCATTCTCCCCAATTTTGAACACGAAACAGAATGTAGAGCAACTTTACGTTTGTAAGATAAGAAAAAATCGAGTCATAATAAGTGACAATATTTTTATTATAAAAGTCTATACATAATTATTAGGTGTGTGTTGTATATATGACATCATTTTTTTTCTGTCCATGTTCCTCAGTCAGAAGTTGGAATTTGCTTTCAAATAAAGGCACTACGGTTTCACGTACACGGAATCTCGGAAATACTAAACTTTACCCGCAATTCCAACCTTGTAACGCACTTGTAACGTCTGCTCGTTTACCGGCTTATGCTATAAAAAAACCCGGAGTAATTTCCCCAGATAGTTTTTGGAGTGGATTTTTTAAGTTATGTAGTTTGTTGGATACATTATAAATGTTAGTGTTTGTGATTAATTCTGTGTCATTTATAACTTTGTCTAAGTTGAGTAGATATTATTCATAATGGTCTGGGTGTTAAATTATATCTATACTAATATTATAAAGAGGAAAGATTTGTACCTATTTTTGTATGTTTGTAATGAATAGGCTCAAAAAGTACTGGACCGAATTATTTCACCAATAGAATGCTACATTCTTCCAATTTGACATAGGCTACATTTTATTCTTTAGGAGCTAGGTAGGAGAGCCTAGTGTCCTAGAGGAGGTTTCTTCTTATCTTCTAGTAGTAGTAAAACTCCGATGAGAGGTGTTGACAAGAATGATTTTATTTCGCCAAACTACGCTACTTATATTTCTATTTACATATTTACAACTAGACAAGATCCGATATAGTTAGGTGACAGTTTCGACCAATAGCGGCGCGCCGGCGTGCGCGGGGCGCGCGGGGTGCGGGGCGCCGCTTTGCACACGGCACTATCGATCGGTTCCTTCCGTATAAGTATGACCGCGCGGCGCGAGCGCGCGCATTTCTCCGAGAGCCGGCGTTGAGTGAAGACTGAAGACTACCTACAGATGAATGAAGATGAATGCAAGTACTCCGACCTCCGGCTCCGGCTCCGCTTGCGCTGCTTGGCTGCTTGCTTTACCCAACCGCTTCTTTCGAAGCGATCGCTCGCGGCACGGTGTGATAACGCTGTTGCCGCAGTGATGATTATCGTTTCTATGCAGGAAAGTCGAAAACTGTCTTTTTCAAGACAATTGGTTTCTGGTTTCTTAAAACGGAGTCAAAACGTAAACTGTCTTTTTCAAGACAATTGGTTTCTTGTTTCTTTAAACGAAGTGAGTCTATAACTTTGGTAAAGGTATTGTGGAAGGTGGTATATGGAAAGGTATTCGGTGGTACTGGTAACTGGTAGGTATGTAGTCGTGCGGTGCGGCTACAATTCTTTCGTCAAATGCGCTGCCGAAACTATTAACGATAGAACAAAATAATGTAGAACAATATTGAAGAACATCATAATGTCTACAAAAAACTCCGCAGTAGCATATGTCCAACTATTGTAGTTAAGTCACTACATCAATCCAAATTTCCAAAAATAAATAATGGTCTACCCCGTGCGAAGCCGGGATGGGCCGCTAGTCCTATATAACTTTGGATCTAACACTTACACTTTACTTGGTATTTCCGCGCAGTTTCACTCTTTCTGCTCGGCTCCTATTGATCGTAGCGAAAAGTAGCCTATAGCCTTCCTCAATGAATGGGCTATCCATCGCGCCTCAAAGAGCCATCAGACCACCACGATGGGGCCCAATAAGGCTGATGCCGATGCCGATACGGAGCCGCGGAAAACTTAACGGGTTACCGGGGCTCCGGCTCGAAGTGCAGGAGTAGGAACGGGATGGCTTTTATTCAGTAAGAGTCTGACACTCCCTCCCGCCTCACCCAGACAGGAGAAGTAATTCGACGTTTTTTAGTATAAATATAAGTAATTGTGCGTAAATTGAACTAATAATTCCTTTTTGTAGCATCATTGTGATGCTTTGGTTCGCTCTGTATCAAAATATATGTTTTTCAAAAGTAAAATACTATCACATATGGCGTTGAACGATTGGCGTTATTTTATGAATCGACGTTGTAAGATTTTTCGTGAAAGAATGACCATTGCCCGTGTCTGCCTTCCATTTCGAGTTATGGAGATGTCTTATTAGTTTGAGTAGCGTCATTGAAAATGTTTTAAAAGTTTTGTTCGTTTTATCTTCCAAAAGGTTTTTCGAAAAAGATTTGGTTAATTGGAGTATGTAGGTAAATAACTTTAACTTTTGAATCATACTATATTTATTTATATAATTCGTAGTTCGAAATTAGTCTGATTCTTATGAAAGTTCGTGTTGTTAATTCAAATGTGTTTGTCTATGTTTAGCGTTGAATCGCGTTACATTTTTTATTTATTGGGTCAATAATTTAGGTACATGAAAATGTCTTCTAAAAAAAAACAAACCTTTCGCAACGTAGCCGAGATGTGCAAAGGGTGAGACTAAGCAAGAAGATAGTGAAGTGAAGCTTACAGCAGTCCGAGCAAGGCAAGTGTAGTTATTGCGTCCGTTGAGAGTCGTCCTTAAGTTCACGTCTGTGGGGCTATCTGAAGCGATGTGCATATTTATTTATACTTTTATTTATTTACTTCATGGAGTAAAGTTCTTCAGGTTATAAAATTGGATAAAAATAACAATAGGCGTAGGTAACAATGAGCCAATTACAAGTCCTCACGTTTAGCATTTGGAATAAATTAATTAATATGGTGTGAGTAGATACAATACAATATTAAAAATACATATACCTATTCAGCGTAAATAAAAAAGTGAAATATTGAATCACAGACCAAGAGAGACAAAAAAAAGCTATTGTTGCTTAAAAAATTTGAGGCTTAAGCACCTCTTTGCCGAGTTCACACTAGTTATAAACGGATCGAGGTCTGATTCCTTACAATTTTTTTTTTAATGTCTGCTTTCACGCACAATGTAACTGTTCTGCCTGTAGTTAGATGAGGAACGGGATACATGCAAAGGTGAATTAAATCTAAATATTATATTAGGTAAATTAAAATTGATTTTTGATAATAGTTTTGGACTAGACATATACATTGCCGTTAAGAATATTTACCACACGGTCAATATATTTCTGATATCTTGGATTCCATATCTGAGACGCATACTCCAACTGGCTCCTGACATAAATGCAATATAGTATTTTAACACGTTAACCGCCGCGTAGGTCACCGGTGACCTACGTTAGCGGAGGATTTGCCTTCAGCTGTTTTCTTCTTTACATCAGATAATTTTTTGAAAGACTCATTATTAATCCAAGCACTTTAGATGCTTTTTGACTATTGCATTGATATGTGTATCGAAAACCAATTTATTGTCTTGATGGATGCCTAAGTCACAGATAGTAGTGCACCTTGGTAAGGACTGACCCGCTAGAGTAAGTATAATTATGGTCAGTGCACTTTCTAGTGTAAGTGACTGCGGAACACTCTCTACGGATCTCAACCCATCTAGGGTTGAGATCTAGTTTATTAATCTGACAATACTCTTCAAGCCGATGCAAATCCGTGTGAAGTGCACGACCATCGTCAGGTGTTGAGATAGTAGCTGACAGTTTCATGTCGTCAGCAAAACATAAAAGTTTGGATGTATGAAAGCTTATGCTAGCAAGATTGCTGCTTACTGCTGGAAGTAAAATTTTGGCAGATTTTATTTTCCATACATAATTGCCAAGCCCGAATTTTATATTGTAAAAGAAAATTTATAAAATAAGTTACAGACCTTTTAACTAGCCACCCTGTGTAACGTAAGGCATAGTAAGGATGGTCTAGGTCCACCACCTCGTTTAGATCACAAAGTAACTTATTGGTAGTTACCTAATACAATTCTTTCATGACCGACCGACCGACCTGTCTTACCGAAGTAAGCTTCGGTAAAGGGTTAAGACCCTACAGCCGAGTTCGTACAAGCAGTTAGTCCGGTGAGAGGGCAACAGCTGTGAGGTGTGTGTATGTAATGTAAGTAGTGTCTGCATACACAGTTAGAGCGGGTCGGGGCTCCGGGGCTCCGGGGCTCCGGGGCTCTGGGAGGCTCGCGCGGCCACATAGCTTTCGGCGCACAAATAAACAAACCAGTTCCGGCGCCCCCCGCTCCGCCCTGCGCTATCTGCCCCCGCACTCACCTGCAGCCTCCGCGCCGTGCCCGTTTAATGCACGAAATGAACTTTGGTATCTGTATCCGTGCCGCTGTGCCTACAATCCGTTTTCGTCGAGCCTCGATCATCGCACGTAATATATTCGTGTGGTCCGCGCTGTACTCGCCCAACATCTTCTGTGCGCGTGTGTCTTTTCAAAGAGACAGAAACATTCAATCCTTTCGGTAATGCTGCTAATTATTTTGGTGAATGCTGGAGAGTTATTAAAGTTTCTAGCCCAAAAGTAGGTGTCGGTGCGGCGGGGGTGGCGGGGGGTGGCGGGGGCCGGGGCTGGTGGGGCGGCGGCCGGGCGGCGGCAGTACGCGGGTGTGTGCGAGCGCGAGTGGTCGCCGTCTTGCGTTGAGAGCGGCGCGGCCGCGGACTGTGATGCGAGCGCGCCGCCCGCCATGGCCACGCTCGGCCTCTCCAAGGTGTTCATTCTCGACAAGTACTTCACTGAGCTGCAGCGGTTTTGGGAGACGGAGAAGAAGCTGCAAGGTGAGCGCCCCTTCACCCGCGCTGTGGCCTGCGCCTGCGCTGCTCGACCACGAGTCTGTGATGATTATTACTTTTTGTGTCGTGTTCGGCGCTCGAAAGCTCGGCGTAGTAGTTTGTGTGCGTGCGTGTGTGAGTGTCTGTCTGTGAATGTGTCGAATCGCTTTAAGCTGTTAGAGGATCCGGCTCCGAGGAGCGCGGCGCCGCCAGGTCACAGTGCTCCAATTCACTCCACTCGTTACTTTGAACGATGTGTTCGGCTTTACTCGCAACGTTTGTATTATTCGGTTGTCCCTATATAACTGAGAGTGCTCCAACTTGCCCGCGTATTGTGCAATCTACTTGGACCGCGCAGCGATGACATTACACTTCCGTCGAGCCTGACATTCCTGACAATATGGACACCTTAAACGTTGCAAGTGTTTCTGTGAGCGTGCGGTGTCTGTGTATCACGTATGTTGTGCTACCTGCGCCGGCGCATTGTTCCCGCGGCCCGCGCCGCCCTGCCTCGGCTGTCCGGGACAAAGTATTCACTTGATAATACACAGGTGACAGCGGACTGCTACACGCTACACGCTATCTCTGCATTCGTTGATTTAGTAAACGTTGAAGGGCAGCTCACAACTGCACCTGGGTTTACTTCCAGAACATGGCTAAATGACACCATTGTATCGTTTTAAACAAAATATTTTTTTCTGTTTAATGTATTAAGGCGCTTATACAATACCTCTATATATACTAACGGAACCGGCCCGGCAGCCTCAGCACGTCAAGTGTATGAAGTGGCCACTGGCCAGGGGGTCGAGTGTAGGAACCATTAAAACACTTGCTTTTGTAGAGCATTCAAAACTGAGAAGGAAAAGTTGCATACAAGTTTACTACTTAATCAGAACTTTCTTAAACACCCCCTAAGTATTCTGAAGAATGCGCGAACGTTACAAACTAGCCACTCATCAACAATCGAACTCCTGATCCTCGAGCATCCCTCGAAGAACTGAACAAATGCGTAAAGTTAATTCGTAAAAATATTAAGTTTGGTGTCACAAAAGACACTTTTATACTATTTCATTAAAAACATTAATTTGCTCTGTGCAATAAACAGTCAATCAGCAAGCCATGCACGTAGCGTCAGGTAATGTGATTGATATGAAGTACAGAGACAGCGACACACAGAACTTTATTATTGTCTTAATACGAGGGGCGAGGGAAATGAAAGTAATTCACAAACTGTTTTATATGTCCAATTGTTCCACAATGTGACTTGCATGTGCGTGCGAATTGATCTATGTTATACTAGAGTGTGGTCAGCCAACAGAACTACATACTCCTTTCTGATCAATTTCTTTATTCGATTTCAACTTTACTGTTTTGATATAAAGTCGAAAATCTAATTATAAAAAATGACCGATTGGAATAGGTTGATAATTTTGTTCTAGCCTTTGGCTGACGAGCTTAACTCGTCGTTGTCAAGTTTCGAGCTGCAAACCAAGCTCCCACCCTTTGACCGGGTGCCGGGCACCCAGCAGACGGAGTCGCGTGTAGGACTTCAATAATTGAGTATTGTAAGTACACAACAACACGAGAGTCGGCGCGCGGAGTGGCGGTGCCGTTACTCGAGGCGCGCGCCTGCGTGGCACTAGTCGCGGCACTCGCACGGACTGGGTGCCCAGTTACTTCCATCTAAGCTATGATCCGAGTTATATTGATCCAATAATTCCAGTTATATTTTACGCATGCTTACAAAAAATGAACGCTCCCTCCCCGCCGCCCGCCAGTAATCAACGCCTAGTATCTGCCGAGTACTGTTTCGCCCTTTAAAAGACTTCAACGCGCTACCGCTGTACTCGATCAAAGTTTGATGTGATTACAGTTTGATTTACTTTCCATGGCACGTGCCATTATATTGGTATCTAATATACCTATGTGCTTCGTCTGCTGATACGAATGTTATTATTATTAGTAAAATACATTAATTTTTCGTATGTAAATTTTCCACGGTTTCGATATCATTCATACTAAAAGTTTGTTTATATGTATACAACTTTAATAATAATTCATTCCCTTTGGGATTGTGAAACCACACGTTGTATGACCCTCATCGATTAACAAACTATTTTTAATGTAGAGTTAAAAGGAGAATACCTTTTATAGGTACTTACGTAGGTACGTAGGTTCAGTGCTCCTCGGCACAAACCATGGTTTGTTGTCAGAGTATTAACATATTGTGTATGCAAACCGACTTCAAAAGAAAGAACGGAGGTTGTCTGTTTGACCTGGATGTATGTGCGCGATTATTTAGCGATTAACTGAACTGATTTTGATGCGGTTTTCAAGTGTTTATTACACTTGGAGAAGGTTATTGTCATTATTTACCTTTAATCATGTTTACTTGGAAGAAAGTCAACGTAAGAATAAGAAAGATTTTTGTGTTGAAAGATAAAGTGAGAAATAATGAGAAAATAGAACACACAGCGCGTCACCTCTTCTACAGCTACGTGGCTGCGGTATAACGAGACATTCCATCGATATTGTTACTGTACGATTGTCGGCTACGTACTAAACTAAGCAATGCAACAAAACATTAGTATTGAACAATGTCAGCTCTGTTCCGAGTATAAGAGTTACCAAACGACATGGAGGCTGGCATGAGGCAGTATTAACATTCCGCTGCGCATGCGTCACCCGCGGAAAGTAAAAGCCCCGCGCGGCCAGCGCACGCGCATCCCGAGCGTGCCGCTCACACCGCACGCCGCGGTTTTTGCGCGAAGTACTCTACGGGAGGCGACGCGGCTACAGGGCGACGTAGCCGACACATAGTTCTCACTCATTGCGTCAAAGTGCGGTTGTACGATGCGTGCACTTTTGCTTGTTGATGTTTTAAAATGTCAAACAACTGAAATAATCAACATTCCGTGCATTTCACGATTAGAGATCACAGGTGGTCCATACATATAGCGTACACATTCAACAAAATTATATTACCTGTGTGGGGCTATGTGTGTACCTGTGTATATGTGTGTGTCCACACACGCACACACACACACACAGGTTAGGTAGAAGTTTTGGGATCTCAAAAGTAAACTTGTGAATTGAACTTCATTATTTTACTACCGTGGACTTTGTTAGTCTAATCTCCAAAGATAAACAATGGACTAATGCCAACATTAGTCCAGGTACATAATATGTTACAGTTGTATCGTCATATGAAAGCTTAAGAAAGCTTAAGCTTAAGAAGCTATGCTAGAAAAGCATATTTCTGAGTGGAAACTTGAAAAACTATTCTATATTAATGTGAGATGTGTCTAAAATAATATTATTGTATATTTGGTGATTAGAACTAGTATATAAACTAATAAAGTAAGATAATTAAAAAAGAACAGTAGGCAGTTGTTTTTCTGTTTTAGAGTTACCGTGGTCATTATTTTGAAATTGACGCTAAAGTAACTACTTCACTAAAATATTTTAATAACTGTTCATTTCCGCCTATCCCTCTGTTCGACTATAAAAATGTTTGAAATGTCTGTTCTACACCCATGCCATGCCACACATGAGTTCGTGCTCTAATAACAAATCGCCCTGTAAAAAATACAAAAATACACTTTGAACTGCATATTATTTGTTCTCACATGGAATGTGGCTTCCGTCCACATATCCCTTGCTGGGGTGCAAACAGAAAGTCACTTAGTTGTCATACGTTGTGCGGTTGTGGTGGTGCAAAATGTCGGACAAAAATGGTGTAAATTTATCATCTAATAAATTCAGGGTCGCAACGTATTCATTGGTTTGTAACAGAAAATTCAAGATGCTTCAATACGATTTTTAAATGATATCTGAGTATCGAAAAGTTGTCTGATAGAGAAGGTGCTACACTGAATTTGTCTGATATACATTTTTTGCACATGTGGACAACTTATTTTATCATGTCCAACAATTTTCGATCGGTAAAGTTAACATTTTCAAAACGGTCTCAAAATTTAATGCGTTCACATTTCCGTCTGAAAATTGTTTTGTTCGCATCAAATAACCAAAATTTACTAATAAAAAAGATTTTCAGACGTATTGCTATGAGACATTTTTTTTGTCTCATTTTTAATTCTTTTAAGTGATTTTACGGGTTTGCGCTACACCACTAACGTCTGAAAAATATGTTTCCGGTATCTCAGAACTATCATTCAACTACAGTCTACAAAACAGACATATCGCACACCATATTAATTAATTTATTCCAAATGCTAAACGTGAGGACTTGTTATTGGCTCATTGTTACCTACGCCTATTGTTATTTTTATCCATTTTTATAAGCTGTAAGTCCTCCATGAATTATAAATAAATAAATTTATAGTGGGCCATCTTAGGAGCCGGGCCATCTTTGGCGAGCCAGCCTTAACTTATTTTTGGATTTGCGAATACTTTTGCGTCGTCGTGGTCAGTACCGTTTTTAACATATGAGCACTCGGGGTTCGTGGTACACATTGCGTGGCAACCGTCTGCCGCGCAACTTGTAGCGAGTTCGATTCGGTCGGAGCACATCTTTGTAACATAACAATAACATCACGCCTTTTACCCCCGAAGGTGCAGGCAGAGGTGCACATTATGCCACTGTATTTATGCTATGAGTCCCATGTAATAGGGGGTGAACCTATTGCCATATACCGGGCACAATTCCAGGCTCCGTGCTACTACTGAGATTTTTTTTTAAAAACCCAGTAATACTTTGCTCGACCCGGGAATCGAACCCGAGCCCCCTTGCCCGGCAGTCGCACTTGCGACCACTCGGCCAACGAGGCAGTCAAATCTTTGTGTGCTCCACAAATTGTGGTTTGGATCTGGGTGTCATGTGTATGTGAACTTGTATGCTTGTAAACGCACCCACGATACAGGAGACAATCCTAGTGCGGGGCAACGTTAATAAAAATAGAAAACAATGCAAAAGAGCCCCGTATTATTGTGTGTAAAGGGCCGCAGCGTAGTCTTAGACAGCGCTGTGTGTTGTCGCTGAGTGCTTGGCGCCACTTGTGACCGAGCCGTGGCCTGTTCCAGACGCGTCGTCGTCCAACGAGGCCGTGCACCTCCAGCGGCGCCTGCTGTGTCTGAGCTCGGACCTCGTGTCGCTGCGCAACCACCTGCTGGTGGGCGCGGCCGGGGGCGCGGCCGGGGGCGCGGGGCAGCCCGCCGTGCCCCCGCGCGCCCCGCACCTGCTGCCGCCGCCCCCCGCCGCGCAGCCGCCCGCGCCCCCCGCCCCGCCCGCACCCTCGCCAGGTCTGTAAGCTTATTATTATTATGTAATAGAAAGCTCGCAATATCTGATAGCCTACTATGACGTTATGGCAGTCGGTCTATTTATTATAATATGAAAATACCCAGAGCACAGATCTATCAGGTAAGCACTACAATCGATGAAAAACTTCTGTTTAAAAGAAACGGCGGTTTTTAGATGGAGGCTTATCAAATTGAAATTTAAAAAAAGTATGTCTTAAGTATGAAGTGGGATGTCGTGATGTTCACTGCGATGTAGTTTTCTAGCTTATAAGTCTGTCATACGCAGAGAGTCGCTGGCCGCAGTCGAAGCAGGCGGCGGCGGGCGCGGCGGGCGCGGGGGGCGCGCTGGGCGGCGGGGGCGCGGGGGGCGCGGCGGCCGACGTGGAGGACCTCATCCACCTGCGCGGCCCGCTGACGGAGGACGCCGTGGTGCGCGCGCTGCAGGCTCGCTTCTACCACAACAAGTTCTATGTGAGTCACTCCTTGCTGTCATATTATCTCTTGCTAGCTGCTCGTCTTCTACCTAGTGCGAGTAATTACGGTAAACGGATAAAACATTTTCGTAATGTTCTTTATTCTTACCACGGAGACTTGTTGTATATGATACATTATCAGTTTAAGTGAAGCTGTAGTGCTGAAGCTACTATGGCACCACAATACTCGCAATACAACGGTCATATTAATTAATTTTAAAAGTCATTCATCGAGAATGTATCGCGAGAGCTGCGTGAGAAAAGTGAACCGTGAATTCGCAGACCATGATCGGGCCCGTGCTGGTGGCGGTGAACCCGTACACGGACGCGTGCAACGCGCTGACGCTGACGGCGGCGCGCGCGCAGCGGCCCGAGCTGGCGCGGCTCGTGGCGGACGCCGTGCGCCACCAGGCCGACACGGGCTACCCGCAGGCCATCATCCTGTCGGGCGTGGCCGGCTCCGGCAAGACGTACGCGTCCATGGTGCTGCTGCGGCGCCTGTTCGACGTGGCGGGCGGCGGGCCCGAGACCGACGCCTTCAAGCACCTGGCGGCCGCCTTCACCGTGCTGCGCGCGCTCGGCACCGCCGCCACGCCCGCCAACTCGCACTCCAGCCGCATCGTAAGCCCGTCTCCGCCCTGCGCCCCCCCTGCGCCCGCCGGCCCACTACAGCCCCCGTCGCTTGCAGGGCCACTTCATCGAGGTGCAGGTGACGGACGGCGCGCTGTACCGCACCAAGATCCACTGCTACTTCCTGGACCAGACGCGCGTGGTCCGGCCGCCGGCCACGGAGCGCAACTACCACATCTTCTACCAGATGCTGGCGGGGCTGGCGCCCGACGAGCGCGCCCAGCTGCACCTGGAGGGCTACTCGCCGCAAGACCTCAGGTACAGACACTGGTCGATCCCGGATCATTACTCCAACTTCATCCAAGCCACATAGATTTATAGCGAAGTGCCACGTCTACGTTAAATATGGCTTAACGAAGTCAATTAATTTTTTTAACTGTCACTTCGCATTCGTATCATAAACTAATGGAATAATGAGCGGAGGTATATACGTTGTTCATTTGATACGTCTTTGGCTTTGGAGAGTGTAGTGAGGTCGTGTTGTAGGTACCTGGCGGCGGTGCACCCGCGGCGGCCTGAGCCCGAGGACGCGGCGCGGTTCCACGCTTGGAAGACCTGTCTCGTCATACTCGGCATACCTTTCTTGGACGTCGTGCGCGTACTGGCCGCCGTGCTACTGCTCGGCAACGTACAGTTCGCGGAGGCAAGCGACGGCTCGGCTGAGCCCGCCAGCGAGGCCGAGCTGGCCGCCGCCGCCGCCCTGCTGGGCGTGGCGGCGCCCGCCCTGCTGCGCGGGCTCGTGTCCCGCGCCGCGCCCCGGCGGGCGGCGCGCGCGCCCGCCACGCCGGCGGCGGCGGCGGCGGCGCGCGACGCGCTGGCCAAGGCGCTGTACTGCCGCACGGTGGCCACCATAGTGCGGCGCGCCAACTCCCTGAAGCGGCTGGGCTCGACGCTGGGCACGCTGTCATCGGACTCCAACGAGTCGGTGCACAACCAGGACGCGGCGTCGCGGCGCACGTCGTCGGCGGGCGGCAGCGCGGGCGGCGGCGCGCGCAGTCGGGCCGGGGCGCGCTCCATGGCGGCGCTCAACGACGCCGTGCGGCACGCCACGGACGGGTTCGTGGGCATCCTGGACATGTTCGGCTTCGAGGACGCGGCGCCCAGCCGCCTGGAGCAGCTGTGCGCCAACCTGTGCGCGGAGACGATGCAGCACTTCTACAACACGCACGTGTTCAAGTCGGCGGCCGAGTCGTGCCGCGAGGAGGGCGTGGCGTGCGCGCTGGGCGTGGAGTACGTGGACAACGTGCCGTGCATCGACCTGGTGTCGTCGCTGCGCGGCGGCCTGCTGGCGGCGCTGGACGCCGAGTGCGCGGCGCGGGGCTCGCCCGACCACTACGTCGCCAGGATCAAGGCCGCGCACAGGTACCGCGCTGCTTGTAGCCAGACATGGCTCCTATAATAGCTATGCTTATACTGTTAGTTGACAGTTTCACATTATCTGTGTCACCTCGAGATTACAATATACAAGTGTATGGTGCATGGACCGACACAATTTTTTCAGGGATTTGGGAGGTCGTTATCTCCCATAAACACTTCGACCCAAATGTCACGGTAGGTTACATACTTAGGTACACAATATAATTTATTTATTTTATTATATAAAATTAAATATTTCCCAAAATGTTTCCTTTAACTCAAATATCTTTTTTTGTTTGTCGGTATAGTGGTCCAAAATATTTTTGTTGTATCATCATCATCATCATCATCAACAGCCTATAAATGCCCACTGCTGAGCAAAGCCTCTTCTCACACAAGAAGGTTAGAGCATTAATCACCACGCTTGCTCAATGCGGGTTGGCGATTTCAAACTTATAATTAGAAATTATAAGTCCAGGTTTCCTCACGATGTTTTCCTTCACCGTTAGTCAGTGGTGCCTAAATAATCTTAGAAAGTACATATAACTCGGAAAAAGTCACATTGGTACTTGCCGTTGGTAGGTTTCGAACCCGCACCCTCATGCATGAGAAGTAGGCGTCTTAAACCTCCGGGCCACCACGACATGTCGTATACTTGTGTATGTTGTATACTTCAATCAAAGTCGATTAAATCTAAATTCATTTTTTTTTATAGCATTAGTCGGTAAACTAACAGACGGATCACCTGATGGTAAGCAATCGGCGCCGACCATGAATACCCGAAAAACCAAAGCGTTACAAGTGCGTTACCGGCCTTTTGGGAATTGGGAATTTGTGGATTGTGGAGGATTCGGGGATTCGGGAGACTAGGGAGAAAAGTAATTGGGCCTCCGGTAACCTCACTCACACGTGTGAGTGATATGAAATGTTCGTGTGTACCTACTAGTTTATTTCATTTTGTTGATTTGGGTAGCAACACCCACACAGTGTATAAAATAATTAAAATGGTAATGATAGATGAGTAATGTCCATGTACTGGCAGAGGTCACCCGCGGCTGGCAGAGGCGCGGCCGCCGCACCCGCGCCGCTTCGCCGTGCGGCACTACGCCGGGGACGTCACCTACGACGCCGCCGACTTCCTCGAGGCCAACCGAGACGCCGTGCCCGACGACCTGCTCGCCGCCTTCGACACCAGAACCTGCGAGTTCGGGTTTGCAACGCATCTATTCGGAGCCGAGCTGAAGGTACACGTATATACTCATCGATATTAATTTTAAAGTTCCTACAAGTTTACTCGTCTGCGAGCTCTACGAGAGAGAGCCGGACATGTAATGCGGCGACCCCACAATAACGATGAAACGAATCCATTCGCCAGGCTCTGAGCGCGGCGGGCGGGCCGACGGGCGGGCAGTTCCGCGCGTCGCCGACGGTGGCGGCGGCGCTGGACGCGGCGGGCGCCAGTACGCTGACGCAGGACTTCCACACGCGCCTCGACAACCTGCTGCGCACGCTGGTGCACGCGCGGCCCCACTTCGTGCGCTGTCTGCGCGCTAACTCGCAGGAGACGCCCATGTTGTTCGAGCGCGCCGCCGTCGCCAGACAGGTACGGGCCGCGCCGCCGCCCCGCCCCGCGCCCCGGCTGCGCTCACCCCGCTGCGTCTGTTGCAGGTCCGCGCGTTACAAATCTTAGAGACGGCGCAGTTGATGGCGAGCGGCTACCCGCACCGCATGCGGTTCCGCGCCTTCAGCGGGCGCTACCGGGCGCTGTGGCGGCGCGGCGCCGAGCGCGAGTCGGGCGCGGCGTGCGCCGCCGTGCTGCGCGCCGTGCAGGCGGCGGCCGCGCCCCCCGCGCCCGCCTCGCCCGCCGCCGTGCGCTGGGCGCTCGGCAAGCGACACGTCTTCCTCAGCGAGGGCATGCGCCAGGTCAGCTTTCTATTATACTCTTATCCTCTAGGTAGGTAGGTAGTTGGGCAAATAACTAAACCCATTTATCAGGCACGTTACAATAAATATACAAGAAAATAAGCTCCAGTTTCTGCAAAGCTGACCCAGTTTAATCACCTGTTAAGTCACTCGAGTTGCATAGGAGCTTGATTTGATTATAATTCGTTTAATATAAGAATGCTATAAGGTAAGGTGCTATATAATTATCTGCCACGGCTTTAATGGGAGGTAGTGTTGTGTTTACAGATTACAATAGTATTAATAATATTTAAATAGTATTTTCGTACCCCGGACCAGATAATTAAATTTGAGAACATAAAGAAATTAAGTAAACATTGACTACATTTTGCATTATGTGTTTCACAAATTATAGCGCGATGCGTCGCTTAGTCAATGAAAACAATTACTATCTCTTTCCATGTGTACTGAGAATGAAAACGGAAATCAGCTGACTAGTTCGTCACTATCTAATCTACTAGATACTCAATAGGCAGGGTAACAAGTGTTTTTAAAGTGCAATTACTTACCAGGTACCTACGGCATTCTTCCGAAAAGCTGATGTAGGTAAACAAGATGATTAACTTCCCATCACACTTAAAACAGTTTTTTACACACTTTTACAGTTATTTACACACTCCCTACCTACTTATCTACAAAACTGTTGCACAAGTCCACCTTCGCGTTGCACACAAATGAAAGCACGCTTCCGAACATGTCATCTCACATTATTTAATGTGTCCGTTTCACTTTTACTTGCCTAAATGCGCGTTTGATTTTGCGCGTGATTTAAAAGACGCCACAAGTTAACAACGCCACGCCACAAGTCTAACACTTCCTCTTCGAGTTCGGCCGATAATGAAGGCCTGCCTGCCGGGTCAAAGCGAAAATGGCCATCAAACACAGCGACGAGGGTTGTGGGTGCTCTTTTGGGCGGGGAATGTTGCTTGTGATAAAACGAATGCAACATGAGGAAATGCGTATGCAGAAATATGTAGATATAGAAAATAACCTATTGTCTTTTGGACTATTGTAAGCTTTATTGAAATCGGCCAACGTAGCGAGGGTTGAGGCATCCTGCGCACATAAATGTCCTACAGTCGGTGGCGCTGTGTGTTGGGTTATTCCGTTCCCAATTAAAAGGTTGACCAGACCAATTGCTGATATACACGTCATACTCGTGAACGGGTACCTTCTGCTGGGTCAGGTCGGCTCTACCATCTTATTGGTGGGCTAATTTCGTAGAACCGTCGAAATAGATACTTAATTATTATATAATTTATACTTTTAGTAACACCTTCTTTACTTTAAAAAATTGATTAGACGTATTGTAAATTGTAATAGAAAATTATATGACAAGGGCACGGACCAAGAGTCCGTGGAGAATTAATGTGTAATATTATAAAAAATATATATATAAACCATGCTGAAGTTTTCTCGACTGTCTGTCGGCTCCATCATTAGGTCGACTCCAGGCCCTTATCAAATTGTAGTGTTTAAAAATCCTAATAAAAACATAATAGACTCATTACTCGCCCCTACAATTTTCGAAAGTTCCCCTCGGTTTCCCTAGGATGCCATCATCGGATCCTGACTTCATAGAAATTGGACATCTCGGGAGTCCTTCATCCTTTCAAACAAAACAAGAATTTTGGAAATCGGTTCACAAATGGCGGAATAATCGGTGAATAAAAATAGGAGTCGACCAGTAGCGGGAGCACGGTCCAAACTACCGGTGCTTAGGGCTCCATGAGACAGGAACCTCCTCACGGTGCGCGTCGTTTCAAGAAGACCTGCCTTCTGTATCAAGCCCTTGACCCATCCGCCAAACGCCAGCCTCCTAAGGTGGTTGTCGAGGCTGTTAGGAATTAACTCACTGTTATTATTAAATTGAATTGTCTGTAGTTAAAACAAATTAATAATTGTTATTATTTATTATATTGTATTAGTAAAATCATCTATGTATATATTACGTTTATTTTTGTGTGCGAATACAGCTGTTTCGGTATCACTATGTGTTATTCTAATGTAGCGCTAAGTTAGCCAGTCTTATGGCAATCCTGTGGTAGCTGCAAATTGATTTGAGTAACCTTCGAGAAATTTATTTCGAAATTATTTAATTAGAAATTTCTTTAACTGAAACAAAGCATACTACCAATGCTACCGACATAACATAACATCACGCCTTTTATCCCCGAGGGGTAGGCAGAGGTGCACATTATGCCACTGTACAATGTAACACCCACTTTCCACTATTTATGAGACTCCATGCATCTACTGAGATTATTTTTTAAACCCAGTAACACTTTGCCCGACCCGGGAATCGAACCCCTTGCCGGGCAGTCGCACTTGCGACTACTCTGCCAACGAGGCAGTGCTACCGACATATTCGTACCAAACGGGTTACCAGTTCAGTATTACGTACGACGTACAGTTGGAATGGACGGTAAAATAATATTCGACGGCCGATTATTATTATCAACGTCAACATGTCCGCAGGTGTTAGAGAGAATGCGCCGAGCGAGGCGCCAGGCGGCCGCCGAGTGCATCCAGGCAGCGTGGCGCCAGCACCGCGCGCGCGCCGCCCGCGGGCCGCCGCCGGCGCCGGCGCCCGCGTCGCTGGCGCCCGCCCGCCCGCGCCCGGCGCCCATCGCCGGCACGCCCCCCCCGGAGCCCGGGGACAAGTGCGACCCGACGCTAGTGAAGCGAACATGCTCGCTTTTTGGCCTAGACCTGGTAAGCCCTGCGCGTTGTTTACGTTTATGTTTCATTTATTGCACCAGACCCGTCCAAGTTCTATGGAGCTGTACAAAGGACTGTTATTTCATTATGGAATCATCGTGATGGTAGTAATATTTGTTTTCTTTTTATAAGACGTTTTTTTGTTAGTTGTGAACGAAACTTGTGTTTGTGTAAAAATTAAAAACATGGACAAAATAAAAATTATTCTGTGTCGTTACATGGAAATAAATATTTTGGCTACATAAAATAACTACTTCACCATGCTCTTTCACTACTAGTTTGTCCTCTAACGCTACTCTATGGTTTTCTGGCATCATCACCTGAAGGTCTCCCTTATTTATGCGATACATACATTACGAATGCGAACGAATCTGTGAATAACGTTCCGTCCCGGGCAGGAGCGGCCGCCGCCGCTGCCGCCGTCGCGCGCGTACACGGTGGCGGGCGGCGTGAAGCTGGGCTACCCGCAGTCGCGCACCGTGGGCTGCGACTGGCTGGCGGGCGGCGTGCGCCTGCGCGCGGGCGACGTGGTGCTGGCCGTGGGCGCGGCGCGGCGCGGCTGCGTGGCCGTGCAGGCCGCCGGCCGCGCGCTGTGCGTGCCGCACCACGTGCTGGCGCCCGCGCGCGCGCGCCCGCCGCCGCCGCCCGCGCCCGCGCCGCCAATGGCCGCGCCCCCGCCCCCGCAAGCCGCGCCCCCGCCCCCGCAGGCCGCGCCCCCGCCGCCGCCGGCTCTCGCCTGACGCCCCTCGACTGCTCCGGCTCGCGTCGACGTTCATTCATTTTCGTCAGGGCGCCGAGTGTAAATAGCGATTAGATTTAAGTATGTATTTAATATTTTTAAATAGGTAGTTCACCGAGAAACGTCGCACAAATAAAACTAAAACCATTAATTTAGTGCGCTTAAGTTAAGAATTAATAAAACGATGTAAATGTAATGGCGACAGTGACATGAGCGTGTTCCGTCCCTGCAGTAGTAATGAGTAGAGTCACTAGAGTCACAGCCGTGCTGTGTTACAGCTCGACACTGAAACTGATGCAATCTTGTTACGATTGAACGACGTACTGCTATCGTCACATATAGTAAATACGTCTAAATATGAAAATCGTTAGTTTTATATAACAAACACTTGACATAACTGTGTATATTGTATTTATAGAGGTCGTGCTACCTTCCACGGTGCTTCCATTCCACAACATACTTACAACTATTTATACATTGGACGATTAGCTGTTCCAAAAAATTCAATTAGAAAATACGCGGCAGCAGACTCCATTGTAGTCCACTTTAGTAAATTGGATGGCTTGTAGTACGTTGGGACAGTGAAGGAGTCAACGTGTGGCCAAACGAAGGTGTATGTGTCGCTAGTGTCGCTACACGCCACTCGAGCGAACTTGCCAACCAGAGTCTGATTAATAATAAATATACTTACTTATATGTAACCTACTATACTTATAATGTGAAACATTCGATTTAATGTATAACTTCGATAAAAGGTACAAATAAAATTATATTTCAAAATAATCATTTATTTTTTTTCAATAAAGTTGTACATAAAAAACAAGAACATCTGGAATGTGGATGGGCGCAGTACTCAGTCGACTGAAGATGCATGTGTTTGGTATATGAACATTAAATGTCAAGTAATGGAACAATATGAAATGTATTTATCACCGAAAGATAACATGACCTACAAACTGTCGTAGGAATCTATACGAGAGATCAATTTGTATTATTTTCCACGCACGTGTTTGCAAATGTATCAATTTACGTCTCGTGCTGTTTGGTGGTGGTCCATTCGTATGATTCCAAATAGTACAAGCGATTCGACCAACAATAAGAGATTTTAGTTTTTAAAAATACTGCCTTTTTAAATCGGCGATCAGTCGCAAAACTATAAGCTGATGAGTTGAGTTACTATGGCGATTAGGCGAAGGAACCAGTGTCTCTTCTGCCTTTTCAAAACATGTTCTTTCGCTTCAGCCTTTTCGCAGTGAGCATCGGCATTGCAAGTTGGCGAGTGTTTGCGTGTACCTAGTAAGTGAGCGTGAAATAATTAATATACTACTCGTTTAGAATCCTACCAAAAGTTTATATATTGATTTATTTCAGGCAGGCAGTTGGAACAACTGATATATGGCTGTGATGAATATAAATAACATATAATATAGACATCCTAGGCCTAGGTAATACATAAATTGGCGGTTTTGTTATTTTCCGGTGATTTATTTAAGCTCTGAAAGTACAAGCACGAGTGAGCACCTCAGTCGAGTAAGTGCGGCAGGCTCCGCAGGCCCCCAGCATACAGTAACAAGGTGTCTCTATAAGTATGTACAGTAGACAAGTCGAGGCTTCGTTGTGACATCACCGCGGCCGGCGCAGCGCGCGCCATTACATTCTTACTTCTCCTTTCATTAACGTTTAATACAAAGTGTAAAGTTAGCGAGAGATATACATGTATAACCCGGTACAACACACAAATAATATTCGCGCCTGGTATCCACAGCGATATTGATAACTCTACGAGTTCGTGTGCATCACACTGAAACACTAGAGAAAATTTGGCCACGCTCTTAATTCTTATATGAATAATATATAAATCCAACTTTAATGTATAGTCGATAACAATAATATTTTAAACATACATACACATATCAGCATAAAACTTGACTAATAAGGTAATACTGTGAAATAGAGTATCAAAGTTTAATGTTCATTGTTCAGTATCAGATCTTTAAGTCTGGTACAACGAGGCGCGGACAAGCGGGGGCCGCTACGAGCGCGCGGACCGACGCTGCACTAGCGCTCGTACGATGGAGCGCGACACGAACGCTATACGTCGGCGACGCATATTGATACGTCACTTATTTCAAATATACTAAACACTAAGAAAAACAATCAATGAACGTGCTCCGCTCGCGTCACATTTGCCTGTAACTGGCAAGTTCAACATTTAGCATTCATTAGTTTGATGTAGCCATATTCAACCTTTTTTTTACTAGGGCCAAAAAACGTAACGAATAAGATTTATGTATACATATATATGATACTTTATAAATAATACCATAACACTTTACTAGCTCGATTTTTGTGTTTTAGTTCCGACCCCCGAATCACTCGTTCCCTTATAGGCACGATATTTGAAATAGAACAGAGCATCTTCAAGTGGGCCAAACAAAAAGGCCCGCCGCAGGTTGAGTATAGCTGGTTTGATGTATTGCTTATGTTTATTGTATTTAAAAAGCGCTACATGAAAGTCAGGGACAGCTTGCACATAAAGCAGCAATAAATCAGTAGTCTTTCAGTACTCCCCACAAGGTTTTCGTTTGCTTTGACTGGGTCTCTCAATTAATTGATTACCTGGATCCGATGGGTGGCGGTGTCATGGATTGCTTCGGATGGATTATAATATAGCCATCTAAACTATTTATTGTTAGGCCGTCCATAATTGTATTTTATAATAAGGACTTGTGTTTAAATTAAACATCGTCCACGATGCCTTAAAGAGTAAAGTTTGACTCCTGTCCTAATGCAAGTCTATGGCGCGGACTACTGACTACTGACTACTGACTACTAATGAGGCGGACACTCGTTGCAATGTAAACCGCAGAGCTCGGCCTATTGGTCCCGGCACCGAAGTGTATGACTGATGTGACTTCAGTCGTGTTACGTTCCCTGAAGCTGTACGCAACAAATTCAACATTTATAAATATGTTCCTACATTTTCAAACATTACTCTAGATAATTTTAGAAGCGAATAGTTACAACAATTTATTATTATTCGTTACACTGTCTGCCTGAACACACACTATAAGGCAGTGCTGGATTACACACCTCGGTATTTGTACTCATTTGACAACAAGATCGACTCCATGCTCGGCGCCCCGTCGACATCGAGTTACATGCAAACGTCGAGTGCCGAGGCGCTGGTTGGAGTTCGAATGTTCATTACTAATATATAAAGTATTATTCGAAATACGGCAAGGTTACGCGTTACGTCCGCGTCGATAGTCACTTGAGCGATTGCTATTTTTGTTGGCTGGTAACAACATTACATAGCGAGCAACATTGTCGGCCATATAATCTATAGACAGCTCCGCTGTGAACCGATCTGATTTATTTACAAACAAATATATAAAAAGATTACCTTCGAGATCACAACACAGGCACAAAGATATCTAGCTTTTCTAGATTAACAGTTGATGTAAGGGTGGCGAGGGAAGTCATATTATGCACACAAATAGTGACAGTCGCGCGGGGGGCAGGTGCGGGGGCGCGGGGCGCGGGGCGCGGCGCTAGTCGCGCGACAGCGGCGTGCTGCAGGCCAGCGAGGGCGCGCGCCGGCCCAGCGGCGAGGCAGGCGCGCCCCCGGCCGGGCCCGCCGCCGCGGCCGCGCCCCCGCCCGTCAGCGCCGTGAACACGGTGCTGGAGGACACCTCGCGCACGCAGCGCCGCTGCTCCGCTGCGATACAAACCACTTTGTTACTACACTAATTGGTACTTCACACACTCGACACACGTTACACTGACGACCAATCACGATAACCCATCTATCAATAGTTTTAACTGGTGAAGATAGAACATTCCATATTAGGAAGGTCAAAACTGACTGACAGGTTACGTTATTGCAAGTGATCGTAAAGATTTCTAGTTATATAATAATACCTGTGGCCGTTTTCGCCCACCACGTCTAAAACAATACTTAGCTAAAAGTAATTTATGAGCGTGACGTAGCACCTAAACCTTCTTTATTATATCTATGACCTAAACTAACCTACTTTTACTGTTAGATGTTACTTATAGAGTGATAATAACCAAAATTTCGTTAAATATCACCTAGCTTAGGCTTAGAGGTTCCTTAACATTTAGGAGACGGTGGTCAAAATGGGCATTAGTCACTCGATATTCGAAACATTAAAGCCAGTTTGCACATTCAATACTTTACTTTAGGTATATTTAAACACATATTTTTACGGTCATGTAATACCATGACGACATCTGTAAATAAAACATATAACAACTAATACCCACCTATAAACGTCAATACATACATAGATATAATAAAACTGTACAGGTGTAAATTCTGTACATTGAAAAAAATTAATAGTATGAGCATAGTATAGAAATTAATAGTATAGACAGCGAATCCAAAAATGTAATATTTTTTTTTCGTGTTCATCTGTCTCTCTGTATGTTCACGCATCACGCCGAAACTACCAGTCCGATTACGATGAAACTTGGTGTAATTATATTTGAATATCCTGGGCATCAACTGGGTATTTTTAATACCGAAAAAGTATACATATGAAAAAACAAACTTAATTGTGCGGCTCAATCCCGAGACACAGATACTGTACCAAACGCAAATATAAGTTTCTCGAATGTTAAGTTCACTGTAAGCCCACAGTGGACCGTACGCCGATGGTCGAAATTAGCTTGAACCGCGAAAATATGTTAGTGTTTTTTTGAGTTGGTGTGTGTGGTATGTCTGTTATTCAGTCACATCAAAACGGCTGAAGGGGGAGAAATCATCGAATGACTGCTCCCGACTGGGTGAGGCGGGAGGGAGTGTCAGACTCTTACTGACTAAAAACCACCCCGTTCCTTCTCCTGCACTTCGACCCGGAGCCCCGGTAACCTTTTACGTTCTCCGCGGCTCCGTATTGGAACGCGACGCGCCGTACGCTCGGGTATGGTTCTGGCCGAAGATCGTCTCGCGGTCTTCGTAGTGATAACACCCGGGCGTTTCCTCTCGCCCTAGGTTGCTCGTTGCTGCCATTCCGCCATGAGATCGAACCGGAGCTCTTACGCCGCCACGCACTAATCTAGCGCAACAGCGGAGTTTTGATTCGCTGCCTCCCCGGAAATCGTGCGGTATCCGCGGATCATTCAGATCGCTATGAGGCTATGACCCTCTGAGACGTGAGCAGCGCCCGAGCGGGCCGCCGCACCAGGTTCGGTGCCCATACAAGGGCGCCGTAGAGGGCCCTGGACCGCACGACACTCGCGTATAACCTCCGGCAGGAGGCGTTTGGCCCCCCGAGGATAGGTAGGAGGCGCTTAAGCGCCGCCCCCGTCTTTCCAAATTAGGAGCCAAACGTCGGAAAGAAGTTCCACCGACCGTCGAAAACCAGTCCCAGGTACTTCATCGTCGTTTCGACGCCGATGGTAAGTAACTCTTCCCGCCGTTATTTGGAACTCACCCGGAGGAGGTGAACTAGCCGTCCGACAGGTCTAGCCCAACATCCGACAGGTGCGCGATGAGGTGGTTCGAAATAATTCTTTTGAAGACTTTCCCCAGCACGATGGGTTGGTACGCGTAGATCATGGTCTTAGTAATACTTAAGCTACTTATTACCCCCGGGAACGCGAGGGTAGCCGCTGGCAGAAGGCATCTTGAATAAATACTCAACGTAACATTTATTTTTAACAGATTTTAATCGCGTTTTTCACTCACCGATCATGTTCTGCAGGTTATCGATGACGACCTCGGTGTTGTACGTGGCGTCCACGGCGCGATGCAGGAACGCTGTCCACGTGCGTAGCTCGGCTTCCTGCAAGCAAATACTTGCACCTATATAACTGTTTATAAAACAGAGCAACTGTGCCATTCCCTGCTGACGGATTGTCGGTTTGAGGAAGCTCCGCCATGCCATTAGCCATTGAGTCAGTCAGACACCCCACTAGGCGAGTACCTTCATCTATACATCCCAGGGCAGGTATTCAACCAGTACGCAAGCTACTTCGTACGATAGTATCTGTTACCTACCTTAACTAAAATATATTATATGGATTCGTATATAGTGTCTAATAGTACATAAAGCTAACAAACCAAACATTACTGATGTTATTGCAAATAAAAATATTTTTATCTCGCAGATACACGGACTATGTCATAGTATGTGGTACGAATATGTTAGTAGTACACTATATGTGCCGACGTAATGACGTAAGTGGAGCGCCTAGCGACCGACCGCCGTGCACCGCCTATATATAGAACTGACGTGACGGTCAGGGTCAGTCGCGAGCGCGCGGTCGCTGCACTGGCTGCCCACTAAATGTTATGTCCTCCACCACAACCATATCAACATCAGCACCCATAGAAATACAAACAGACACCCCAGCACAGACAGGTTGTCATGATTCAATGGTCTCGTTGTTTGCCGGCGCCACACGCCGCGTCTGAGACTCCCTGGACTCCCGCGACGTAAAACACATAGCTGATCTGGCTACTCACAACTAAATATAGCGGTTACCGCATCTAACCTGAGGACTTCAATGAGGACCGTGACCCTCTCCCATTAGTGTTAATAACACTGACTCATATAATGTCTAATTACTAATTTTCATTCATCTAATTACGAATTGACCCCTTGTGATTTCATTAGGCGGGTTCTGGTAGTGCTTTACCACAGCGTGTCCTTAGTGTTTTAAATAAATTCATTGTTGGCACGTTTAGGAAACTATTGTAATGTATGGTCTGTTGAGCTTGAGAGACCAGCCACGGAGCTATCGATTATAACTATAAAACCCGAATGCGAGAATAATAATAAAACTAATAAAACGAATACGTATTTTCGTCAATAGCCTAGCTGGGCAATATATACAATGACTAGGGATAGTATACAAAGATTACTTACAAGTTTTTTGAATTATGAATAAAAATTTATTATTATTATGTATGTCTTTACCATTCACGGGACCACAGGGTCCCGGTCATTTGGGAGGCATACGAGGGGCCGAAGCCAACTGCGCAGAGGCCCTTTAGACAACTTTAATATAAATGTAATGGACACACAAACCGGCGACTATCCCTGTATGCACTATGGAAATGCACCCAAGGACAGTCCCCGGTTAGTGTAGGACTATTGTGAATAATGGAAAAAAAGAACGTGGGGCTATGGATGGGTTGCTGTGGACTGGTAGATTGGGAACTATGGATGACTATGGCACCTGCCGAAACAATGTAATTTTTACACGTAAAAATGGCAGGCGGAGACTCGCCAACTCACCGACCGGGCCCCGGGAATGGTTGCTAGATATAGCAACAGAGGGGCAACGAGAATGTGAGTGGCTGAAGGGTTAAGAAACTACCACCGCTTTCTACTCAGATCATCTGCTCCAGCCGAAGCCTCCTGCATCCCTGGCCCACTCGCGACTTACGAATAGTTTCTTACCCTCCGAGCAGGTTCACTGCTCTCGCGACTCCACTCTGGACGGCCAATGAAGGCAAGCCAGAGGTGGGAGACCTGTTCCTTGTCATCTTTCACTCCAGCCAGCCAATTAAGGCAAGCCGGAGAAGAAGGAACGGTGACTTCTCCCTGGAGCACTCGGGATGATGGTAGCCCGCGGGATCGCTAATGCCCGTCACCTCGCCTCAAGGTGCCCTGCGGGCTTATTATTGTGTAAAATAGATTCCGATTTTATAAGAGGTATTTAGAAACTTTTCTGGCTCAAAAGGACACAACAAAAACAGGTACAATCAACAATCGACATGGCGTCATTTACAAGACTTATTTTCACTTATTTACTTTAGGCACGTTTACTGCTTCTCCATGGCTTCCACTAGCGTCTTGGCCGGTCTGGGTTATGGACGATAGGACTCCTCTAAAAAGGGTTTGTTTTCTAAGATAGAACTATCATTACAATTACTGCAGAGTCTGCATCTTACATGACGACAATCTCATCAGTGATTCCCAAAGTGGTCCAGATGGACCCCCAGGGGTCCACAAGAGACTTGCTGGGGGTCTACGTAGACGTATATAAAAAATTAGGGTCCATAAGATGTTAATGGGGATCCATGAAAATGTATCTGCTTTTGATAATAAAGAGCAAAAATGTAAGCATAGTTTCTATAAGGGCCTACCTACATTGTTATAAGTACCTAACTAAGCAGATAATATTTTAATAAGGCAAGTGACTGTTACTTGTCCAAACTTGCGTATTCGACATTACGTACAATTTTATGTACAGATACAGACTTGCAACGCGCTATCCACCCGAAAAAGCTTAGTGCTTGTTCAGGCATGAACTTCATCACTACAAATACTTGATACAAAGGCAAACTGATTTATTTCTTTCTGGAATTTTTAAAAAAGTTGTAAGAAAATTTATTTATATTAGTGTTTGCTAGTGCCGGAGAAAAGTAAGTACCTACCTTTTTTTGTTATAGTACTTAAGTATTTTGATTCCGTGTACTAGTCAGTTGATTACAACTGCTTGTGTAGATAGGTAACTTGGTACCTAACTTACAGATATTTTAATTGTACTCTTTCGATTTGAAGACAAACACAGAACGTTTTATTCAATTGTTTTTTCATGATTATACAATCAGTAGGTATTTGACAGATTTGTTTAAAAAAATTAACTTGCAGTTACAAATGGACAACCTGAATTTAATAAATACAAAGAGGATAATTTAGGCTTTTCTTGGGAAATTGACAACGATGAAAATATTTGTCGGCGCAAATTTTCTCAATTCCCAAACTTGTCGCAAGTAGAATGTAATGATGAGGATATTCATACCTACAGTCAATATTTAAGTACATTTAAGTGCCCTGCGTGATGACTTTAAAACCAGGTTTGAGGATATGCTGACAATGGATATACCACCATGGATCATAAATCCATTTGATGCCACGGTTTTATTACAAGCTGCTCAAGCTAAGCACGAATGAAGAGCTGAAGGTGAAATTCAAAAAAGGGTAACAAATATTTTGGCTGCAAGCAGAAATACCTGAAAAATATCCTGGACGCAAGGAAAATTTGAATAGCTTTTCTCTCATCTTACTTTGTCGAAAGGAGTTTTAGTGCCGTTACAAACCTCTTAACAAAAAAAAAGAAGCAAATTAAACATCACAGAGCGGGAATTTGCGATTATAGCTCACAAAAATAAAGCCCAAACATTGATCGTTTGCTCACACTCCATCAAATACATCCTATCCATTAATTAAAATTATGACCTGAACCTTACCTATTATTTTTTTCTTGTAATTATATTCTTTTAATAAATAAAGTGTTATAAATTGTACTATTATTATTTTTCATTTTTATTTTACCTATCGGAATACAGGGTTTATCTGTGAACATTTACATCCCATTAACCACGTGTTTTCGGAAATCGTGAAATTTTTTTTCGACTGGATACAAAATGACCGAGTTACGTGACCGATTTTGTATGAAAGTTGAAATTTTTTATGCGAGTTTCGAAAAACCATAGAACAAATGTTATTCATAATGGTTGGTAGAACACGTTGTTGAAGGGATGTAAATGTTCATAGATGTACCCTGGATATGGACAGAACTCAGAAGCGACACAATTTTTATTTTTGGCGACTTTAAAACTTCGGGTTCACCGAAACCAGTAAAATTTTGAAAGTGGTCCATGAGAAAAATAAGTTTGGGAACTACAGAGCTAAATAAATTTTCGTCATGTGGGATTGTTAAGGTCAATTATATAATATGATTATGTATCGCGAACATTATTCATGCGAAAGTTTGTATGTTCGTTTGTTTTTACTCTTTGTTGCTTGACGTCAAAACGAGTGAAAGGATCGGGTTTATTTTGGAACAGGGACAGATTACGGTCTGGAATGACATATAGACCACTTTGTCCCACGAGACGTACGTAGCCCCACGACCCCACGACTCCACCCTACAAGACACAGTAAAGTCACTCCCAAACCGATAGGTACCCGTTTTTTTATGGCATAAGCCGGTAAACTAGCAGACGGATCACCCGATGGCAAGCAATCGGCGTCGCCCATGGACACCTGGAACACCAGAGGTGTTACAAGTGCGTTACCGGCCTTTTGGGGATTAAGAGTTAGATCGTTGGGGATTCAGGGATTGGGGAGATTGGGGAAGGGCAAGGTAATTGGGCCTCCGGTAACCTCACTCACACGACGAAACACAATGCAAGCTTTGCTTCACGTCGGTTTTCTGTGAGGCCGTGGTATCACTCCGGTCAAGCCGGCCCATTCGTGCCGAAGCATGGCTTACCCACACTTACACGTTACATACCTCCTTGCACAAAAACTATACTTTCGATTTGGCGTCTTATTGAAATAGAAAATGTTAAGCCAGATACAGTACAGAGCTCACCAGTTCACCACAGTACGATCAAGTACGATGTCCCTTGTATTGGCGCTCCTTTTATTTCACAGTACATGAGTCCGCACACTTTCACAGTCATTACCGCAGCCAGCGCACGATGCCAACGCAGACATTAGAAAGCGAACTTCCATTTACATTCAAAACCCTACATAAGTACTAGATTATTATGATTGTGTCGATTGTTTTATTGTTACACTTTTTCCCGTTATGCTTTTATGATCACGCGTCGATGACATCGTGTGAGGTACGCAGCTATTTACAAAAGGTGCGGGGGCGATGGCCGATCAGCCCCTCGTCTCGCTTGGAAAATCATTGCCCGTGTCGTCGATTTTACCAACACAACATTATTAGTAGCTACCTACTGAAGTATCAGTAAACGAATACCTACTGAAAATAAGGTACATACATTATTATTAATTAATCCAACGATGAGTAGAAACATCGCGGTATAGCAAACAACAACAAACAATTACCTATATCATAACAACATTCTTTTTTTCAGATGATTGAAAATATATCAATTATGGTAAGAGGGATTGATCAAATACAACTAATAAATTAATATTGACCTACTGACCAAGGTACCCAATATTGATGAACGTTAGACGCACTTAGAGCACCGCTAGAAGAGCTCATCTGCAGGGTGGCTTGTACCAGGAGCTACCGCATGATACATTAAGGTCATAATTGTGAAGCGCGTGCCCAATTGAATAACGTGTGGTAATTGGCGAGCCGTGTGATTTCATCGTGGGTCACTGATGATGATGACACATAATGCTCGAAGCCGCTTCATGTCGCGCCGTGTACTGTACAGAAACTGCCTCACTTACCTTACGGCACCCCAATAAAAATAATATACATTATAATTATGTAAGTAAGTGCCCAAGACTGCCGGAGTCGAACAAATTACTGACAAAGTCCATATGGAGGAATAATAGTGAACTATTAATAATATCGTAGAGAAGCGCAAAGTTGATGTTACTATCATTCAAACTTTACTACTATATTTTTCTACGGACCATAAAGGGCTGCGGACTTGCAGTATTAAAAAAAAACGTAGTTTATTCTAAATAAAGAAAGATTAAATGCAGTTCAATAATTTAACTACACGAGTAACTTCCAGGGCACGATCGATTTCTATGAACAAAGCTGATGTAAGGATAAGTAATAGGTGGGGGCGGAGTGAGCGAGCCAGGAGTGTTGCGGATTGACCCTGATCGTGGACGATCTGGAACAAAGGTAATCAGGCAGATCGCGTAACTAGGGTCGTCGGCCGGCTAGCGCGTCGCGGCTCGGTCGACAAACTGTGCGACCTCATACTGTGCCACCCGACACTGACACAAACTTAATTACCAATAGCCAAAGTAGGTACCTACTCTAATTCATTTTATCACCTGGGTGGCTAAAATGTTTACACCTACTGACGGTTGGTTACGGACAATTATATTTCGTATGTTTCAGATGTGCCTATGTGGGGCATGAAAGGGTTAATTGAAGTACATACTTAGAGTTTCACACTAATGTTTGTTTAAAACCATTCATTAATCAGTAAACATAAGAAAATAGTAGTACCTAGGTATAGGTACTAGGAAGAAACCCACTGAGATAGCAAGAAATAAATTTATCCATCTATTTCCCGACCTGACCGGATGTACGTTTTAATAAAAAAAAAGGTTTAACGCTATTACCAGAAAACTATAAGTGGAAAACTTAACATTACTTTTTTTTATTCAGAGGTCACAGTAGGGATTTTCCGGTTAAGAAGGTAGTCAGCAGCCGAAGCGTTCTGAACTACGAGTCATCCTGTTTGTATAGATCTATAGGGAACAGAGAGTTATGTTCCCTAAGATAGGGAAAGGAGGATATCTTCCGACCAGGCGAGGTGTTCGTGCCTGGTGTGCTTTTCGCTCAACAGTTGCTCGATGGGATTTTTTATCCGTGTTAATCCGCATGTAAACTTCTCTACATGTGTGATGTAGGATTTTTGTGACGTCATCCGTTGATTTATTTTAATCGATAGTCTATGTGCTTGAGCCGAGATGTTGTCATTTGATGTGTGTCGCCACAGGTCTTTACTGTCATGTATTTACAAGGTATTGTTTAATTTTTGACTATTTATACATATTTGGATCATATCGTCCCATGGAAACACGATAGTACGCGTTCGGCGCTCTGATGACCGCGGCTACCACAAATCAACCAATCAGAGCGCCGAACGCGGTCTCGTTTCGATTACTTTAAACGTAAATCAAACTCGTACTAAGGCTCATTAGATTATAATAAATACCTTTAAATAGTAACCGCTAACTTATTAGGAAGGAACAAAGACCCGACTAACATCCTTTCAACCACACCACAGTAGTCTCGTAATAGGTTAGAGACCAGCACTCTGGGATTCTGTTCTGCTTTATTCTTAAACATTATTTTTGAGACTCACGTGACACGAAGATCACACTAATTGCGTATTTTATTTGTTTCTAATCTTGTAGACGCAGTACTCTTGTAACCTCGTAATTTCAAAGTGCGTTTCTGTTTAGGTACCTAAGTAAGTGTCGCGGCCGTGGTGGTGCAATGGTGGCGACCAGTCGGTTGTATGCGTGTGTATTCGGCAAAGCAGGAAACCTCGCGGGATCCAGGGCAAGCAGTTGAGCTTATTAGCGATTGTCGGTGTCACGCAACCACAATATTTACATCTAGGTACATCTGCCACGAATGCGACGATGGGTGGTATAGTTTTATGCATAGATAATGTTTTTTAATATTTCTATGGTTTTTTGTATTTTTATTTTTTAAATAATTAACCCCCCCCCCCCCCCCACTCAACTAAATTTACTACCAGGCGAGATATTGGTAAAACGTCCTTCTTTTAATCCGTCCTTTTTTTAATTTGCGTCTGTTTCACAACCCTAATTATAAGCTACATATGTGACAGATTCTGGTACAAATCGGCCTCAAAAAGCTTCGTTAATTGTGTGTTTGGTAAGTACTAAGTCTAGTAAGAATCTACATTGTGCAACTATTGCCTGTGTGTGAACCTTAAGACACATGTCTACGAGATTCTCACCAAGTCGAGAACACAATGGCGATGTCAACAATAAAATTAAAGCCTTCACAGACTTACAATCTACGTGCGAATATCGTCGAAACACAAGACGCAAGGATGCACTGTGATTTATAACGACTACAACATGCTTCATAAAGTCTGTGTATTTTGTGACTCCATCGTGGACAATCCTCATGTGGATGGAGAACCCCCTCTCGCGTCATGTGGATGGGGACTGACAGTGTGATGCAGTGCTGCTACCCGCTCCCTATGCTACTGTCATTACACAGATTGTAATGATATAGGTATATCATTATTTCTAGAAGTGTTAGGGTGAAATAATTATTTGATTAGCACTAGAATATTAAGATAATATTAACAAGTAATTTTGACCTTACAGAGTTGGAATAATTTTGTATTGTTCAAAAATACAAGTAGGTTTTATAATAACTAACGTGAGACATACTAAATTAACTAAAAATCGCGGGTTACTCACGTGAATATACTGAGAAAAGCTCTACTAGTTTCGAGGGACACACAGAGGGGTTCTTCCTCATGAGTAGAGTGCGCGGTGGCAGCGAGTAAGAGTAGGCTGCGCGACAACCCGCAACGACAACGGTAACCCGCGATTTTTAGTTAATTTAGTAGTGTAGGTACTAAAGGTATAAACGAAAACGATTGAGATGAAGTGTAGTTAAACTACACTTTTTGATGTACGGTTAGGAAACATAGCTGTGAAGACGAGGAGACTCACCATCTTAGCGAGCATGGTGTCCATCTGTGGCTGGTGGGTGGCCGTGAGCAGTTGTCGGATGCGGCTGGCGTTGGCGACGCACTGCGCCATGCAGCGCTGCAGCGCGGCCGCCTGGCGCACCAGCGCCGCGCTCAGCGGAGCGTCCGCGCCGCCCGCACTCGCGCCGCGCAGCACCGTCTCCAGTACATGCGCGTGCTGCGACACGTAGTCCAGGCAGCGCTGCAGCTCCACCGCTTCGCGTTGTTGCCGTTCTGCAACCACACGAGTGAGAAACCAATGTAACCTCTGCAGAATTTATTCTATGTAAAGCCACAATTTTTTTTTTTAATAATATTAATTTCATAATACAATACAGTACCAATACATTTGTTCCATGGATAGTGATCAGTGGTGGTGCTGAATTAGAATCTATTATTATCTTACAAAGAGTAATATATAAAAAATATGTTCGTTTGATATTCATAATGGAGGTTGATGCGGATAGAATCACATTATATTGAATGTTTTTGTATAGCAATTATCAGGCTGACCTGTCATCAAAAATCAATCCAATTACTAAAGATCCAAACATATAAACGGGACAAGCTAAAAAAATTGTTCAAAACTAAATTCTATTATTATTGTATAGATGCTACATATCATACATGTAGTATGATACTACCTGTAATAATATATAGGTACTAATGCAAAACAGTCCATAAGAACTATTTCTGTTATATCTTACATACTAGTTAACAGATTATGATGAGTAAATATTCTTAAATTGTTGAGTCAGAGTGTAGCAAAGGGTGTGCAAGAGATGAGGGACTTAGATTTTTTTTTATCAAAAATGAAAATTCTTATAAATAGCTAGTTTTTCATTTCCATCGCTTAGTATACATTTAGTACACATTTATCGCTTAATTACATAGGGCATGATTGTTGTTTATTATTATTGTAAATCTTTAGTTGGCTGGCTGGCAAGAATAATATACTCGTAGGTACACATTGCGATGTGATGCAATGACGAATAGATCCAATCTTAAACTGTCAAACACCAAGCGGTCACCGGTGACCGCGACCTATTGTTCTTTAATTGTGTCTATAAAACCGGTACTCGACGAGTTAAGTAATAGTACACAATAATACAACAATTATATTTGGTTGTGATCTATACTTTGTGTAGATAAAAATTGTTAATAATTCGGTCAGTGGTTCATCCTAAGGATACCCCTTACCCGTCAAAAAATAGTTTTTAAAATAATATTGTCGGTTAATAACAATTCGAATTGGAATGCAAAGAAATAATTAATTACCATGAAAATCATAGATTCGCTGTGTCCTCCTTAAATATTTTTCTTCCTGCAGTTGTTTGTCGATCTGAGCCTGTTTGTCACGAGCCTCCAGCACCTCCAAGAACGACGAGAACAATGACTTTCTTTCGTTAGAGTTTGTAACGGTTTCTTGCATATTGATTGTAAAAATAGAGCGATTATTAAATGAAAACTGTAAAATTATGTGATCCTTGTGTTTACAGTATAGTAAGAAATTGCTATTTATGTTTTATTTTTAAAATAAAACGAGAACAGATCGATGACACTAAATAATTCGAAATAAAATTCAAAAGACACACAGCCAACCACCTCCACACCTGTTTAAAGCTAGTTTGATTTTGATTTGATTATGACATGACAGTGACATTTTCTTTGATGTCAGTACGCAATCAGTCCTAGTCTATTGCATAGAGTTTATTTGCGCCGCCCATGGACACCCGCAACACCAGAGGAGTCACATGTACTTGTGGACATGACTATACAAATTCATATTTATCGTACGTTCTTGATTTGTTTGGGGTACTGTGAACACAACTTTTGAGACTGGAGGGCAGTCTTCAATCAGAAATACATTATCGTGGCACAGGTACGACATACATGCATATCTCTAACCATAGTAACGCACGCTATATCCATAGACAACTCCAATGACAATTGGAAATTGAAACAGGTTCGGGTCTACCGTCTATGCGTAGAATTAGCTGTCAAAGTTGGTTGAAGACATCAAATTTCGGAATTCCGGCTTCTTGTCGCTTTACTTGCTCGATATTTTATGAAAATCACATTCAATTAATTAATATAAAATGGCACGAGAAAGCAGCGCAGGATTTGATAGACACATAACTATCTTCTCCCCCGAAGGACGACTTTATCAAGTTGGTAAGTTACTTTTTTCCACCGGTGACAAGGAATGACTTGCAGTGCTCTCCAGTTAGTAAATACTTTATAGTATTTGTTTTCAAACGATGGTAAAAAGGCAATTTTTACAATAATTACAATATCCTTTTTACTTTAAAAATAACTATAAACTATTTAAAATTTGACAGTCATAATCATAATGAAGAAATCATGTAAACAAAATGTGTATGCAATGCAGCTCTCTCTACCAATAAAATTAATTTGACAGAGTATGCGTTGAAAGCAATCAACCAAGGTGGGCTGACATCTGTAGCACTACGGGGCACAGACGCCGCAGTAGTTGCAGCGCAGCGTAAGGTGCCCGACCGCCTGCTTGATCCCGCCTCTGTCACTCATCTGTTTCCGCTTACTAAACGTATTGGAGCAGTGATGACGGGCATGATTGGTAAGTTAAGAAATAATCCAAAAAATAAACCTAGCTAAAGCCAGATTACCTACTATGCTACTATTCCTACTATCAGATTTATAGTCTTTTCTATCATGAATTTTTTGAAATGTTAGATAAAACCATTGAATGTACAGTCAACTTTATCTGGTACACAAGTAAGAAAAACAGACTAGACACAGTACTAAATTGTTATTCATCTATAAATGGTTCTAAATCGGGTTTTAGAGTTCTTTTAAAGACCTGTGTTTATAAAAATCAACAATTTAGTAGGTGAAGCTAATGAGGTGACAAACCATGTTATTCCATCGTCTCTGCCTGCCCACAAAAGAGATAGCTATGACGATATACCTACATATGTTTGCATAATGTACTTTTAAAAAAATATGCTCATCTCAAAGTATACCTACAACTTGTTGAGTTTTGGCTAACTATAAAAGTTAAATATTATTTTAAAATATTTGTAATTATGAATATTAATAATAAATAGGATTTTTAACAAGTTTGGCTATTTAAAAGTTCATGGTATTAATAGTCTGTGGGCGATGTTTGCAGCGGACAGTCGGTCGCAGGTCCAGCGCGCGCGCTACGAGGCCGCCAACTGGCAGTACAAGTACGGCACCGAAATACCCGTGCACATCCTCTGTCGCCGTATCGCGGACATCTCACAGGTCTACACACAGAATGCTGAGATGCGGCCTCTCGGATGCAGTGAGTTCACATGTTGATGTCAACTGACTCAATTACATTGCCAAATTATAATTATGTTTAGCTTAGACCTCATTAAGTAATTCAATGGTAGTAATCTTAATTTCAACTCATTGTGAAATGCAAATTTATTATGAACAAAAAATTTTTTTTCTTCAATAACTTGTTACAGTAATTGCATAATATGTCCTAAATTTTTACTGTGGTTACATAATAACATAACATAACATCACGTCTTTTATCCTCGAAGGGGTAGGCAGAGGTGCACATTATACCACTGCACAATGTAACACCCACTTTTCACTATTTATGTTATGAGTCCCATGTAATAGGGGGTGAGCCTATTTCTATATACCGGGCATAGTTCTAGACTCCGTGCTTCTACTGAGAATTTTTTAAAAACCCAGTAATACTTTGCCCGACCCAGGAATCGAACCCGAGATCCCTTACCGGGCAGTCGCAATTGCGACCACTCGGCCAACGAGGCAGTGGTTACATAATATATTTATAATAATGTTATTTTAGGTATAATGTGCACCTCTGCCTACCCCTTCGAGGATAAAAGGCGTGATGTTATGTTATTTTAGGCTATTAGATTGCCCTGAGTATAGAAGATATGTATATATCATTGTCATTTACCCATGTCCTAATTTTTTTGTTACATTTTCACTTGTTTCATGATTATACATATTAAACTAAAAAGTAAGAAATAAAATTAAACTATGTTTAAAACAAATAACTTCAAAAACAAAAAAGAAATTGTTTATTGTACTTAGTACCTAGTTTTACCCACAATACGTGCGCAATACCCACTGAAATTTAAGAAGTTGGTGCCACAAACCCATAACTGCACGGTTGGTGCGGTGGCTGGGCAACCGGCTGCCGTGCAACGTGTCACGGGTTCGATTCCCGCACGGAACAACATTGTGTATGTGAACTTGTATGTTTGTAAACGCACCCACGACACAGGAGAAAATCCAACGTTTTTTTAAGAAAAAAAAAAGATAACGAAATATTATTTACTGATACTAGATACACTTCTATTTTCATAAATTTTATTTAGGACTTAGGGCAACGACTTTTTAACTACACTAGGTACTGAGTACAACAAATAATATAATTTTTTTGGTTTTTATTTAAGGTGTGTAAGTTGAAGTCGGTTGTTCAATTAGTCTTGTCCTTACACTAAATATGTTGATAAAATGTGATGATATCAAATAGCTTTATTGGCAGCAGATAGGCATTGACTACTGTCCTGTAGATGCTTAGACCGTATGTTGTGTTGGCAGGCATGATGTTGGTGGCGTACGACGAGGAGTCCGGGCCGTGCGTGTACAAGACGGACCCGTCCGGCTACTACTGCTCCTACAAGGCGGTGTCTGCCGGCGCCAAGGCCACCGACGCAAACGCCTACTTAGAGAAGAAACTGAAGAAACGTTCCGAGCTGAGCTCCGACGAGGTTGTCCAGCTCGCCATATCCTGCCTGTCACAAGTGCTGTCTGTTGACTTCAAATCGTCAGAGATCGAAGTCGGCTTAGTCACCAAGGATGACCCACAGTTCAGGTGGGATAAATCATTGCTCTTCTGTACGAGACTGACACTAACATTACATTACTAAAAACATAAATAAATATCAGTAATTACATAAATTTGGATAAATAATTTAGACATATATTTTATGTCAATTCCATTTATCCGCCATTGCAGAGGTGCAAAATGAAAATATCAGTGTTGGGTGCTCATTGCACCTCACTTATAGAGTTGGAAATATATTTTGCATACAAGCTGGTTCCGATTTTTATTCTTTATTCTTGTAATGTGAACCATGGGTTTGATGTATGCCTGTTGCTAAATAAATGATTTTCCTTTCATTTTTTCAAATTCAAACAAATCATAGAACTATTTTTATATTTTCAGAGTGCTGACTGAAAACGAGATCGACAGGCACCTAACTGCTATTGCTGAGAAGGATTAAGGGGAGAAAATCTGAAAATGTATTGTATTATTTTTCAAATAAAAGTCAAATTCGTGAGAATTTAAAATTTGTTTTATTATCGTACTACCTTATACCAGTGGCTTCGCCCGCCCCGTGGGCGTGGATTAGTTAGTAGGATGACCATCAGCATACACCTATTATAGCGACAAGTTGACTCCTGAACAGTATAGGTAAGAATATAACACACCCAACAAATAGCTAGACCCGCGTAGTTAGGTGAGCAATGGCATGTCGGTCGCGAGGCGCGCGGGCAGGCCGGCCACGTGCGCGGCGAGGTCCCGCAGGCTGCAGCAGAACACGAGCCCGTACACCGCGCTCTCGTAGCGCCGCTGCGCGCGCAGGGCCCGCAGCCAGCCCACCTCGCTGCACGCGCTCGCGCAGAACACCGCCGCGCGGATCTCGCTCACGGCCACGAACGGGTCGTTCAGCACCACCAGCGCCACCGCACGGCGCGAGCGGCGCGCGTGTACCACCGTCCACACGTAGCGCGGCACCGGGAACCGCTCGCCCGCCATCAGGTACAGCTCCGTGCGCGCCCCGGCCGTCCCAGCCCCTTCCGTGCGCGCCCCGGCCGTCCCAGCCCCGTCCGTGCGCGCCCCGGCCGTCCCAGCGCCATCCGTGCGCGTCCCGGCCGTCCCAGCGCCGTCCGTGCGCAACGATAGCACTCCGTGCGTGCCAGCCAACACTTCCACTTCCTCCTGGCCGCGCCTAGACTCCACGAAGCGGGCCACGTCCTGGTGCAAGTGGTGCAGGTTGCCCTTGGCTACGCTGCTCCACACTGCCACTTTGTTGGAAACGAAATCGGTAACTCTCATGAACTGGTCATCGAAATAACGACTGCTCAACAACTTGCCCGAGGTGAGCGTCTGATCGGCGAACGTGTAGTGATCGTGTCGGAGCAGTTCGTGCAGACGCCGATTCAGACGGACGTCATCGGAGTAGAGGCGCTCGGCCGCCTGTCGAGTGGCCGCGTCGAACATCTGGTTGAAGTTGCCGAGCAGGCTGCGCGGCGCCGACGCGTGCGAGTGCGCCGGCTCCGCGGACTCCACGGGCCCCGCCGGCCCGGCCGCCGCCGTCTGCAGGCGTACGGCCACGCCGCGGTCCGCGTCGAAGCAAGCGGTCGCTAGATGACGCGCCTGTCCATCCGTTTCATGCATCAGATACGCTCGACCTTGCAAATTTCCACAGTCGTCTACCTACACAAAAAAAAAATCTGGTAAGAATACCCAATGGTTAAAAACTGTTAAGTGTTACAGTTACTGAACTATGTTCCCTGGTAGTTAACCCTACCTAATAGGGTAGAAACAATTTTGAGAAGGAGGCTTGTAGCGAACGAGTACGAGTTGCTACGCGTGTGACTGACCTGGTGGAGCACGTCTTCAAAGATGCTCTGCTGGCAGCCGAGCTCGCGCAGGTGGAGCAGGCGGCCGAGCGCGGCGTAGCGGCCGGCGCGGCAGTGCGCGGCGAGCGCGGCGTGGGTGGGCGCGGCGAGGAAGCGGCCCGCGCCGCACGACAGCTGCAGCGCGGCGCCGTCCGCCAGCCGCAGCGAGCCGTTGGCGGCGCGGTGTGACGTCACCAGCGGCATGTTGTCCGGCAGACACTCCGCACATTCCAACTCTATCACGCAAGGTGCTGAGGTATGCACGGAAATACCAATTTTATAGGTAAGTATCTAGGTACCTACAAACTACTAGCAGTACCTACTGCTCTAAAAACCGAGTGGTCGCTTTGCTGTTCTCCTTATAGACATTTTTGTAAAATAAAAAAGAATTCGACAAACATCCTCAGGATCAAGTTAGGAAATGATTGCTTAGTTCGATCCTTACTTCCAGGGCCCAGAGACTGATGGATTATACATCAACGTGTTACACGACCATGAAAAACATAGCGATTTTTATCAACCACCCCCAAACTATCTTTACTAAGAGTTATTTAGGATGAGGGGGAACATCTAAACTAATAATCCCCCACCTATGTTGTCAGGTCAGAACTATTAACGACGTTAGGTATGCCTCTTCTCTCTCTCTTTTAGAGGATCCGCTGCCTTCATTTAGGTGTTGAGTGTGGCCACCGGGGTGGTTTTAGTGAGGTAAAAATCCCACACTCCCTAGTCTTTTATCCCCAAAAAGGCTGGGCGCCTTTTGAAGGTTTCCCCCCGTCATAAAAAAAAGGTATGCCTAACGTCGTTAAGTGTTGCCTATCTTAGTTTAGGGGTTGCCTTAATTAAGATGTTGGTGAAAACGGGCTTCAATCAAGGGTTTTCAGTGATGAATAGAACGGTACAAAAAACCAATTACATTACTCAATAAATATACAATTGAAAGAAAGAATACATTTAAAACACATTGTTGAAGTGGTGGATGTGGTTGAATAATACTAATAATAATACTAATAATTACAACACACATAACCATTATTAGATACTATCGTTCATTCATCTCTTTCGCTAAACTTCAAGCATTCCGACAAAAATAATCTTTCCCTCGAAAACACAGCACTCTCTGGCGGTGAATCCAGGAACCGGTTTAACCTTTTGAGCGCCAGAGTCACAAATACGTGACAAGCGAAAACTGTCCCTGAGCGCCAACGACACAAATATGTGACAAAAACAGCGGTACATTAAAACACGAAATAAACTATTTAAACATTACTTTAAACTGTCAAACACCAAGCGGTCACCGGTGACCGCGACCTATTGTTCTTTAATTGTGTCTATAAAACCGGTACTCGACGAGTTAATGCCTATTTATTTATATACCTGTAAAATACAAGGTCCAAAATTTATTTATTTCCATAAAACTAATTAAATTGCATTATAAATATTGAGAAATTTTACGTTAAAAAGAAAGAAATAAACTCTGAAAAAAGAATGTCCTCACACGCCAGAGTCATAACTGCGTGACCGCTAGTGATGTAGCGCATGTTGGATAATATCATTATTTCAAATCAAAGATCGATTCGAAACTTTCCTCTGGAATATATTATTTTAGGTATAATTTGGTACTAGGATAAAGCAGCATTAATTTTATAAAACCAGTCTTAAAAATCATTCAATAAGCTACATAGTCAAAAATAAAATTTGGTTGGGTCGAATTTCGATATTCACTAATCCCAACTCAAGCGCATCCCTAACGCAACCCGAATTATCAGTACCCTGTACGCCATGGTCACGACTAGACGACAATATCGTGACGTCACAAGCGCGGCGACCAGAAATTAGTGAAGTGAATGAATAATATTTATGATTAATTTACTTGTGATATCGAGTTCAAGATTTATATTAAGTGACTATTATAATGAGTGGGAATTTAATGACTACGGTACGGAAGAACTTCTTCGCATATTAGATGTGATTGGTAATTGTGATAATTATATATAATCGTTAATTGTTTTAATTTGTTACTTTTTATGCCAGGTTTATAGAACTTAATATTTAAAAACATGTATACATAGTACATACTGTATAACATTTTATTAAAATTTTCTATTTTTTCATAGTTTTTATTTACCTTCTTAACCTATTTCAATCATATATTTTTAAGTACCTGTTACATTCGGAATTATAAATCTGATTTAAAAAACGTGTTTCATTTATTATAAAATAATATTGTACTAGAACATCGATAAACGAGATATTACGTTGCCACATCCTTATTTCGGAAGCGAAGTAGTTATTAAAATGGCGGGCCGTCCACGCCATGGTCACAATATGAAGACAGCAGATCAAGAATAGTGTTGTACCTACAGTTATTATATTTAAATATATTGTAGTCTCGTATCTGTTATTACGGTATTATACAAGTCTGTAAATAGTGTATAACTATTACTTTAATAGGAAGAAATGTATTGTTGAATTAAATTTCAATGTTATAAGGACATTATATTTCGAAATTAAAGACGAAAATGAAAATAAAATTGATTATCGATGAAGTTTTGGAATCCCTATTTTTTTCGTAGGTATTTGCGGTGAATTTGTGGCCTGGCGTTGAGGGCAAGTTCATGCGTTTTTGCTCTGGCGTTCAAAAGGTTAAAAGTTTCATCGTGCGCGGTAACGGAGATTTAGCTCTACTGACTGTTCTGCAAGATGGTACTTATAGCAAATAACTGGTGCTTTGTTGCGACAGGAATTGTCAGGAGCAAAAATACGAAGGAACTCATTGTGCAATTCAGGAGCATCAATTCACCGTGAACAATGTTTTATAATATTATTGAAATTTGTTGCATTTCGCGTCTAACTTTTTAAGAGTTATACGCCAAACAAATATTAAAATGGGTATAAGTACAGATAATAACTATTCACGCGTTTGTACAGAGATCGAAGAAATGCTTTTTGGATTCTGAGCTAAGGTCCCAACTTGGTGTTAAAAAATATATACGCGTCGACTTGAGAACCTCCTGCGTTATATAAATGAGGTTTAATATACCAAATCATAAAGCGAGTACTTACAATGTGAAAAGCTCGCGAGTTGAATAAAATTAGCAAGTAGCAAGATTGGTAGCAGCTCCATGGCGGCGACAAGCTCGGCGGCGACTGTTGACTGTAGTCGCCGCGCTATCGCACTGTCCAGTGTTCTCTCGAGTTGACATTCGACCCTAGATAACGTCTACCACTATGCTGATATTATAGTGTTGTTTTTATGACCCATTTCACACATATCCCGAGTATTTCAATTTATTAATAAAACAGATTGTCTTAACTTATAAAGACTCTCAAGTCATAAAATAATCAAATCCCCCATTAACCGCTTGAATGCCTGTATATGAGTATATGAGACAATAGAAAATACATTGTATCTCGCGCCACATTTAGACACACGACAGGTTAATGCAACCTAACAATGCACACATTTCGAAGGCGGTTTCAAAATGGGACGAACATATCATATTATTTAAAAAATAATTGTTTTAAAACAAAAAAAAAACAAAATATTCCGATAGTAGTTTAATATGAACATAATATACAATGCAGATGTTTATTTATAAAAAGCAGGTAAAAACCGACGAAACACATGGTACACCATACGATAAAATACTTTTTATTTCATCAACATACATAACTATAGAGTCTACTTACTTAATTAACTATAATCGCAGCACTATTTTGCCTTAGGGTGAGTAACAATTCAGCAAAACTAAGTCCTGATTGGTGTGTCGGATGTACACACTGCCGCGGTACGTAACTACGAGATGTGCGTTGCGCTTTCCAGAAATGTTTCAGTTCGCACTCACTCAGCCAGTATATGAGATGCGGCTGAATGGTTGCAGTTTAACTTTGTTAATTTACATCCTAGACGTAATGTTACATGTATAAAACACTGTAAAGCGAAGAACGAATAACTTAACATGCGCCACTTCATTATTTGAGACAAGATTGTTCAAGAATTTCTGTTCGAGCTACTAATTTTTTATTGCACCCGGTTTTATTATGCGACTAGACATTTCATGGGCGATTACTCGATTAGTGTCGCAAGCTTTCATTACAATAACCAATATTGAAAAGCTTAAATGATGAATGGGTGTAACAAAGTTCACCCATGGTTTGAAAGAAAACCTTGAAAGTGTTCAAGAGGAAGTGAATCTCGACAAGCTAGAACAATCTCAAGGTGGTCTTCCGTCGATGAAAGCATGAGAGCGGACGGCAGCAATCTGCCGAACGTTTCGGTACCGATACAAAGCCGGCCCCTGTCTCGCGGCCGGCCCTGCGGCGGCCACACTGCCCCGACTGCCGTGTGTACCCGATGGCTCTGTCAGCTGTAGGCGACCTGGGCTTACTTAACTTATCACGGAAACTAGCGTCTTTACTAAGCTTCAACAGCCAAAGGTTATCTGCAGTCGGTAGCAGTAGTGGTCGGGCCGCGCCGCCTAGGAGCAGCAGGCGCGGGCGGGCGGCGCGCGCGACGGCCGGCGCTCCACGGCGATGCGCGCGTGGTCCGCGTCCGCCTCGCGCCCCGACGTCTTGTCCAGGATGGCCTCGGCCAGCTCTGAGAACGCTCGGTCGATGTTGATATTGGCCTTCGCCGACGTCTCCATGAACCGGATGCCGTGCTCGCGCGCTATCTGCAGACATAACATGCGCAAGTCAAAACAAAAAAATATAATACATATTTGATGTTAGTGGTACTTATACCCATTTTAAACGCGATCAACCCAACGGCATTAGTACCCTAATATATCTGTAGTACCCTACTTGCAGCCTGTATGAGAGCCAGAGTGGCGAGACGCGACGTAACGCGGACTTGTTTTGAGGCCGACCTGATGCGAAACCACGAAATATGAACTTTCAAGTAGTATAGTAGTAGTGTACTTCTCCATGTTTCGAGCGAGTCACGTAGGACATTTGTCGCGTGTAACATCGCGTCTTATTACGTCGCGTCGCGTTGTGCTGCATCGTATTCGTCGCTCACGCAGGACACGCGTCATCCTTACTTCCTTACTTATATTATAAATCAGAAAGTGAGTTTGTTTGTTTGTTTGTTCCGCCTTCACGCCGTAACTACTAGACCGATTGCTTTGAAATTTTGCAGACGTAAAGTTAGAAGTCTGGATTAAATAATAGGGTAATTTTTATCCCGGAAAAATTGATATTTCCTAGGAAAAACAAAAATATTGGTATAGATGGCGCTGTATGTACTGGTATAGATGGCGTTGTATGTAATTTTAAAACCAGTCAACGAATTACCTACTTATTGGAAAAATCTAAATAGCGCGATATAACCGAATTCCGCACGAGCGGAAAGCTATTTGTTTGTTTGCCTGTCTTAAACGGCAAAACGGAGGTACTAATTACGTGATTTTTTTACTGAAGGTAGTTGAACGTATGGATAGTCACATAGGCTACTTTTTATCCTTTTGTGACGCGAGCGAAGCCGCGGGTAAAAGCTAGTATTATATAATTCAACATAGATTTTTAGAGACAAACAAGAACACATTCCATACTTAGAGTGTATAGTAATTTTGTAAAATTGTTTGCTTATCATACAGGTGGATTGAAATTGCACGACGTTTTTAGGAATAAAGCTCTATTAATAATACTTATTATAGTAGGCAATTTAAAAATACAATGAACACCTCTATTAAATACACAAAAATGTAAATGTTGTAAAGTCAATGTTTGCATGTTTGTTTATTTTACTTTTTGTGCATTTTGATACTTGGAGGTTTATCCAATGAAGTTCGACGTATTTTGTTTGTTTACTGTGTTTGTTACTTGCATTATTTACTTTTTTTATTTGTATTTTATTTTATAAGTTAATATGTAATTAGTACCGTTGGTAGAGCCTAATAATTATAGTTTATAGTATATCATGTTTATGTGAAAGTACTGAATATGAACTAATTCAAATGAATGAATAAAAACCTAAGAGTGTATCTAACAACACCGTCAGGGCCTGTATGTTTGTATGTACACAGAGCAACTACAAGTAGTGTGATTGATTAATGCGCGTGAGTCACGGCGCGGCGCTGTTCAATGCCTTGTGGCTCGACAGACGCTAATTGATACCAGGTTTTACCGCTAACGTGTTCGCGGCACAATTGCAATTGATGTTAAACATACAGGGAACTATGATCTTCCTGCAACACTACCACAAAGTTTTATATTATTAATACATTCGGAATTTGAAACATTTCCCTGTTGTAGTTTATTTGTTGAATTAGGGCCTCCAACAAGGAATACGAGTAATACACGAGTAACATTACAAAAAATTAAATTTATATTAACATGTTTCCTGTATTAACAAGAGGAAATATTGAAAAGTCACAAATACATTTATTTATTTTGTGAGGCATCAAGTTCAATAAAAAATTAAAAACTTTGATAGCAGCATGATGTTTTGTAGCATTCTTCGATAAATACACAGTTGAACACAAAAAAAAATTGATCAATGCAGACCAGTAGGGCCCGAGATTTGGGGGTCAAACAAACAAACTCTTCAGCTATAATTATCATAGTATAAAATAAGATATAAGATTAATTTCATGGTGTTAGTCTATGGTACAATAAATAGTTAAAAATCATAGAAAGGAAATAGAAATATGTAACTGAGCTGCACTGTGGTCACTCACCGCTTCTCCTCGCTCCTTGCTCACCACACGCTTCTCTTCCATGTCGCACTTGTTGCCTAGTATCATCTTCTCCACATCCTCATTAGCATGCTGCAATATTACTCACTTAGTACACTACTTACATGGAGATACAAAGCATACAATAATTCATAAACATACAACTTTCATAAAAACACTAGTTACTATTGGGGTCTGTGTTCTGTGATGATTCTAAAATCTGGGGATGTCTGAGCTTGAAACTAGATATTTTCATAACAATAATAAATAGTAAATGTTTATTGTTACCTCGTCTATATTTCGTAGCCATTTAACAATGTCATCAAATGTTTTCTCATTGGTGATGTCGTACACTAGCATTATCCCCATCGCGCCACGGTAGTACGACGTGGTGATGGTGTGGAACCTTTCCTGTCCTGCCGTGTCCCATATCTGGAGCTTAATCTTTTTACCCCGAAGTTCCACAGTCTTTATTTTAAAGTCTATGCCTACAAATCAAACAGCCATTAATAATTTAACAAAGAATGCCGTGCTACATGTAAAACGTTTGAATCATCAACGATACAAGCTGAAGTAAATAACAAGGTAACAATTTTTATAAGATAAGTTTTGACGAGAAAAATAAAAAGGTGGCGGCTCATACCGATCGTAGATATAAACGTCGTTGTAAAGTGGTTGTCTGAAAACCTAAACAAAATACACGTCTTTCCAACGCCAGAGTCTCCAATAAGAAGTAATTTAAACAACAAGTCATAGGTCTTCTTTGCCATTTCGCTAAATTGTATAATTTATGCTTAAATACGAAATGTAAAAACGATAAATCCAAAATCACCCAATATTACAAGAAGTGACAGACGATTTTGAGATTGAGAGTTTGAGACGACACTTCACGACACCACGGAGTATAGACTAGACTATAGACATGTCGCAGTTTTCTGGTTGAGTCACCTACAGACTACTTACAGATACTACGACGTATAAATAATGTGTTGAATATCTGCTAGATTGAATGACTAGCGCCGAGCGCGTTAATGGATTATTAGGTATATTAGTTTTTTTGCTCATTAGATCTAGTAAGAGTTCTGGTTGTTTAATCACTGCAGCTAGAATAAATATTGAAAGTCCGATGGAAATAGCTGGTGTCACAATAGCTACTTCCCTATTAGACGAGCAACAACGGCACCTGGTAAACAAAAACAGTAGCCCCCTTTGAAGGACTTCGTACATAGGCGCCCCCAATTTTTTTTGGTGCCGTCGCCACTCTCCTTGCAGTTGAGCTCGCGTCTTTCGCGGTCCACAGTACCCTTCTGTAAGCTGGTGCCCTGGGCACCTGCCTTAGGGATAATATGGATCAGATCCCATTTAACGACTTTACTAATGTTCAGAAATAACGTTCAGTCAAGATGTTGGACATTACATTCACCGACTTGACGAGTTGTTTTTTAGTCATTTAATCAAATACCAGATTAAACCAGATGACTGCGACGCATATAATATAGAGAAAAAGAGTGATTTGACCATTGGTATGGTATGAATCCATGGATTTGACAAGTAATCGTGATTGTCTAGTCAACAGACCACGGAGATATTGAGAAAGTATAATTATATTGTTTGTTTGGTCAAAAGAGAAATCAATATCATAAAGGTGTAGATAAAGATGTAATCCTTACATAAAATATAAATTTTAGTCAAATACCTAAAACCTACGAATGTTGTCATAATTATATTTCATGTTAATCGCGCTCTTTGTGCAAACTTCTCTTATTTATTAGTCTATAACTTAGATAAAAAAATAGATTAGAATAAAATACTTTTACAATACAGATGATCAAAATAACTTTCAGAACTTTAATAATTTATGTTTAGTAGGTATTATATTTCCTTTGCTTAAGGTGAATGCTCCGAGGTAAGTTGTAGTTATACTGGTTCACCATTTAAATAAACCTTTAATTTAGAAAAAGTGTATAGTTTTTATAAAATGATAAAACCAAGGATGTTGAAAAAAAGGTATTTCTTCTATTCCTTGGGCAGAGCAGTGTAGTATAGTATATATAAACTGCCTTGTCCATTCCATTTAATAATTTATTGTAGTCTGTGGTTTTCGTTTGTCATTTCCATAGACAAATGTACTTAACTACTTAGTCTATAGTCTATTCTTCTATGTGTGTGTTTTGATTGCTTCGAGCGCTGCGCCACTGCGCGTCCTATTGATTCTGTCTCTCTTTTTGATAAATTTGACATTTCATGTTTAGCTCTCCTTATACACATTCGTCGCTGAGGGTTTCTTGTATTATATATATTGTTTGGTTTTGCACTCGTCATTGTTACAGAGTCTGAGGCTCAGTGAGAAATCAATACATTTCTCTTTGGTAAGGTAAAAAAGATGTAATAATATTAAGTTAAGTGAGGTAACAGTGTCACGTACAAAATGCATCGCCGTGGCGGGAAACGTATACGGATGGACGATCCACCTCCGGAATATGTCAATCCAATGACTCCAGCGACCCCCATGACTGATTATGGTGGACAATCTGTTCACGAACCCGAAACTCCCAACGTGAATTATTCAGGGTTTAATGTTGGAGCGGTCGTCAATTCCACTGCCAACGAACTCCCAAGAGAAGAAGCCGAGGAATCCCATCACGAAGAAGAGGAGCCCAGATCACCATCCCCCACTCCTACGAAGCGAGTGACCCGAAGTCGCGGTCGCCGCGGTGATGGTGGGTTTGTGGGGCGCTTGGCTGAGTCTCCGCCTCCTCCGCCACTGCGGCGCCGCGGCCGAGGCGGGCGCGGACGAGGTAGAGGTCGAGGAACGGCCCCGCCGCCAGCGTACTCACCGCCACCAGTTTTGCTGCCTGGTGATGACGAGAACAGCCTTTATAATATTCTGAGATTCAATAAGACAGCAATAAACGTAAGTGTTTGTTTGGATCTTTATCAACAACTTATATATTTTACATAATTTAAATTTTTTCTAGTTGTAAAAGATGTTAAATAGTACTTTGGTACTATTTAACTTACTTGTACTACTTAAAAATGTATTTCTTCTATAACCATATTTATGGTTAGCAACTGTACTTGTGTGTCCCTAAGGATCCTCATTGACCAGTTTTAGAAAGTGCAAGGCTCAATATGAATACTTATAATCATAACTACAGGGTACCATAAGTTTTATTGCTGGTGATAGCAAGTTGTAGAAAGTTTTGAACTGAAGTATTTATGGCACATAATGTGACCTCATTAAAAATGTCAATTTGATACATAGTTCATCATCAGAGGGTATGAGTAGGCTTTACGTTTAAATAGAGTAATCAACATGAGATCACATTGGGTGCTCTATTTGGTTGGTTCATAAGAGTCAGCCAATGAGAACACTGAAAGTGGTCTTGTATCAACTACTTAAAAGTAAAACAAACCAGTATCAAGCCCTCTGCATAGTTCTGTAACTGCCACTACAAAAAGATGAAATAAATGATTTACTAATAGATATCTAAAATACTTCTGTGCTTCATAAAGTAAAATTTTATGAAACATCCTTTGCTGACATCATGCTTTTTCAAAGTTAAGATTGTCACATGTCAAAAACACAAAATTTAAACAAAATCTTAATGCACACATGTAATTATTTGCCAGTTAAGATTAACAATAACTTAACCAGAATTATTGGAACATTCCACTGTTATATTTGAATGTTGCTGTAATGTAATGCATAGTTTTTATTGAATTTAGCAAGTTGTGGATATGTGGATAGAAGAATACAAGACGAACCGAGAGGCTGCACTGGTTCAGTTGATGCAGTTCTTTATTAATGCATCTGGATGTCGAGGGAAGGTGACACCTGACATGGCACAGATGGACCACACTCTCATCATCAAGAAAATGACCCAAGAGTTTGATGAGGTACTGTTATTTGTAAAAGTTGACAATTTACACTGCAGAAATGACACATTTTTCATACTAATTTATAGTAGTAAGTTTTCTATTAATGTAAAAGCAGTAGTCTAGGTGCTATTATTTATCATTTCAACAATGTTTGACTCACTGTTATAGAATACCAACACAAATTACAATTAGTGTATTTGTATGATGTGTGTCGACAGCCACTCGCTTCACTAGTGTAATATATACCCAGCCTATTGCCATACACTGGAACAGTTTCAAACTCCATGCTAAAATTGAGAATTTCATAAAATCATTTGTGATTTTATCACATATGTGATAAAATATGTTTTTATACTTCTGGGGATGTGACCCGAGAATGCTACAAATTCTGACTGTTTTGCTATTATTGTACTGACAAACCAAAAAATCTTTACAATGAACAAAAATATTACATTGCAGGAAAGTGGTGAATATCCCCTTATAATGACAGGACAAACTTGGAAGAAGTTTCGCTCCAATTTTTGTGAGTTTATTCAGACATTGGTGAAGATGTGTCAGTACTCCATTATCTACGACCAGTACCTGATGGACAACATCATCTCCCTGCTCACTGGACTGTCTGACTCACAGGTCAGAGCCTTCCGCCACACAGCTACACTTGCTGGTAAGGTTTTATTAAATTGTCCAGATATTATTTGTTTAACAAATATGTACTAATCATTTAATGGTGATCCACTGATATAAGTAAGTAATTAATGTGTTCCACTCCCTGCACCTAAAACACTGTTTTACTTTTTAGTGATGAAATTGATGACTGCTCTGGTGGATGTCGCCCTTTTGACAAGCGTCAACTGCGACAACTGTTTGCGACAGTATGAGGCGGAGCGACTGAAGGCTCGGGACAAGCGAGCTAACGAGCGCCTTGAAGTGCTAGTCGCTAAGAGGCAGGAGCTGGAAGAAAACATGGAAGAGATCAAGAACATGCTCTCGTACATGTTCAAGTCTGTGTTCGTGCATAGATACAGGTTAGCCACACTCTGCTGCTGTGACAAGACTAAAACAAACCCAACTAAACAAAACTTCTAACTTTAATTTTTAACATCAATATTTTTGTTTGTCCAGGGACACATTACCTGACATCCGAGCTATAACTATGGCTGAAATAGGCATCTGGATGGAGAAGTTTCCAGCTCATTTCTTAGATGATCTATACCTCAAATATATTGGCTGGACACTGCATGACAAGGTTAGTAGGATTAAAGGTTGTAGCAGATAAGCATGTGATTTCTGCCTGCTATGTTGAGCACATAGATTGAGCAACCTGGGTGCTTACTTTTAAAACCAATCTCAATAATTATTATTCAATGTCAAAACTATACAACCCCTATCGTAGCACTCGTAGCTATTAAAGTAGCATTCAGAGTACGGAATATGAAGCCAAACTCAATACCATTTAGTTCATTCAATATCCACGCAATACGGATGCAATGCGTGGTAGTGTTGTAACTCAAGAGTACGATATTTCACAAAGTCAATATCAATCGATCGAAATTGGATTCAAGAGTAAGTCCGCTGGTGTGTTGCAGGTGGGCGAGGTGAGACTGCGTTGTCTCCAAGCTCTGCAGCCTCTGTACGAGTGTGAGGAGTTGAAGGGCAAGTTGGAACTGTTCACATCCAAGTTCAAGGACCGCATCGTGTCCATGACGCTCGACAAGGAGACTGAGGTTGCAGTGCATGCTGTTAAGTTGGTTATTGCCATTCTAAAGTAAGTTATTGTTTACTATGATATTATTTATTGTAGTCATCATAGTTGGCATGTTGAATTCCTCAAAAGCTGGTCTGAGTGTAAGCATTTTGTTGATTGTGTTACGTGTGTGTGAATATGAACCTGGCGGCCAGATGCCGCATGCACCCCGACGTGCTGACGGACAAGGACTGCGAGAACGTGTACGAGCTGGTGTACTCGTCGTGCCGCGGCGTGGCGGCGGCGGCGGGCGAGTTCCTCAACGTGCGCCTGTTCCGCAGCGAGGAGCCCGCGCCGCCCGCGCGCTCGCGCCGCGGCAAGCTGCGTCTGCCCAACACGCCGCTCATACGGGACCTCGTGCAGTTCTTCATCGAGTCCGAGGTACGTTTGTACTTCTATCGTTGCTGATATGGAATTCTAACAATACGAATCTACATGATTTTGTTGCTACGCTCAAACTAACTTACGAAACTAGTATTAGTGGTTTCGCCGTGATCTAATTTACAAAATCTGAGAAAATCCCATCACGGTCAACTTACGAATCTGCCATATTCATGAGTTTTCATTTCATACTACTGTTGAAAAGGATTGTTTACGGTTTTGTGTCATTGTCGTCTTCAATCTTAATCATGATATCTTGTGTTAAAGTCAAGCCGGCCACAACCACCCCAAACCATTACGAAAGAACCACTTTCGTAAGTTAGCTGCAGCGTAAAATACATACCTAAGAATTCTCATATATGAAGTTGTAAAGTAACGAAAGTGCATGAATCATATATTCCATTGCAATATAAATCTGAGCTGCTAAGTAATATCCCGCAAAAATGGCATTTACGAAATAATCAAAGAACAATTAAAATAACAATAAAAAGGGACATATAAGAAAATAAATTCATGATACATACATAAAAACAGCGGGTATTTTAAAATAAAACGTACCGCCGTTTTACTACATCGGTCTCATTAAAAACATATCATTTTAATATTTCAAAATGTTTTAGTTACACGAGCACGGTGCTTACCTGGTGGACTCTCTGATTGAGTCCAACCCAATGATGAAGGACTGGGAGTGCATGACCGACTTACTGCTGGAGGAAGCTGGCCCTAACGAGGAAGCTCTCGACAACCGACAGGTCAGTACAGCGCGCTGCCGTGGGACTGAGTGTACATAGTGTGTGTGTGTGTCGGTACATAGTGTGTGTGTGTGTCGGTACATAGTGTGTGTGTGTGTGTGTGTCGGTACATAGTGTGTGTGTGTGTGTGTGTCGGTACATAGTGTGTGTGTGTGTGTCGGTACATAGTGTGTGTGTGTGTGTGTGTCGGTACATAGTGTGTGTGTGTGTGTGTCGGTACATAGTGTGTGTGTGTGTGTCGGTACATAGTGTGTGTGTCGGTACATAGTGTGTGTGTGTCGGTACATAGTGTGTGGAGTGTCGGTACATAGTGTGTGGAGTGTCGGTACATAGTGTGTGTGTGTGTGTGTCGGTACATAGTGTGTGGAGTGTCGGTACATAGTGTGTGGAGTGTCGGTACATAGTGTGTGTGTGTGTGTGTCGGTACATAGTGTGTGAGTGTCGGTACATAGTGTGTGTGTGTCGGTACATAGTGTGTGTGTGTCGGTACATAGTGTGTGTGTCGGTACATAGTGTGTGGAGTGTCGGTACATAGTGTGTGGAGTGTCGGTACATAGTGTGTGTGTGTGTGTGTCGGTACATAGTGTGTGGAGTGTCGGTACATAGTGTGTGGAGTGTCGGTACATAGTGTGTGTGTGTGTGTGTCGGTACATAGTGTGTGGAGTGTCGGTACATAGTGTGTGGAGTGTCGGTACATAGTGTGTGGAGTGTCGGTACATAGTGTGTGTGTCGGTACATAGTGTGTGTGTGTCGGTACATAGTGTGTGTGTGTGTGTGTCGGTACATAGTGTGTGTGTGTGTGTCGGTACATAGTGTGTGTGTGTGTGTGTCGGTACATAGTGTGTGTGTGTGTGTCGGTACATAGTGTGTGTGTGTGTGTCGGTACATAGTGTGTGTGTCGGTACATAGTGTGTGTGTCGGTACATAGTGTGTGTGTGTCGGTACATAGTGTGTGTGTGTGTGTGTCGGTACATAGTGTGTGTGTGTGTGTCGGTACATAGTGTGTGTGTGTGTGTGTGTGTCGGTACATAGTGTGTGTGTGTGTGTGTGTGTCGGTACATAGTGTGTGTGTGTGTGTGTGTGTGTGTGTGTGTGTGTGTGTGTGTGTGTGTCGGTACATAGTGTGTGTGTCGGTACATAGTGTGTGTGTGTGTAAGTACATAATGTGTGTATTGCAGGAGTCGTCCCTGATAGAGCTGATGGTGTGTTGCGTGCGCCAGGCCAGTACGGGCGAGCCGCCCGTGGGCCGCGGGCCCAGTCGGAAACATCATCACATGCTGTCCAAGGACCAAGCCAAGGTAGCCGCACGCTGTCATGTCCATGTCGAGGGTAACATGTGAGTGCCCTTCAGTGCGATGAGTACAGGATACTGTGGACAGGTGGTGAGCGACGACCGCGCGCGGATGACGGCGCACTTCATGGTGACGCTGCCGGCCCTGCTCGACAAGTTCGGCGCCGACCCAGAGAAGCTCGCCAACCTCGTCGCCATCCCGCAGTACTTCGACCTGGAGCTGTACACGACGCAGCGCCAGGAGGGCAACCTGGCGCTGCTGCTGGGCAAGCTGCGCGACGTGGTGCGCGTGCAGGCGGAGGCCGAGGTGCTGGAGACGGCGGCGCGCACGCTGGAGCTGCTGTGTCGCGAGCACTGCGCCGTGTACTCGCGCTGCAACGTGGCGCGCGCCACCGTCACCGACATGTGCGTGGACCGCTACAAGGAGGCCATCGACGACTACCGCAGCCTCATCGAGGGCGGCGAGACGCCCGACGCCGACGAGCTCTTCAACGTCATCAACTCGCTGCGCAAGGTGTCCATCATGTACATGTGCCACAACCTCAACGACACCAACATCTGGGACTCTCTGTTCGAGGACCTGCCCAAGTGTGTCAAGGAGAACGAGTCGCAGATGCCACCGCAGGTGAGTGTCGGCCATTGGTAGGGCGCGAGGGGCGGGCGGGGCGGTACTAACGCGGGGCGGTTCTGACGCGGGGCGGTACTGACGTGGGGTGGTACAGACGCGGGGCTGTACAGACGCGGGGCGGTTCTGACGCAGGCGCTGGTGTACGTGGTGCGCGCGTGCTACTACTCGTTGCTGTGGGCGCTGCACGGGGTGGAGGTGCGGGGGCGCGGGCGGGGCGGTACTGACGCGGGGCGGTACTGACGCGGGGCGGTTCTGACGCAGGCGCTGGTGTACGTGGTGCGCGCGTGCTACTACTCGTTGCTGTGGGCGCTGCACGGGGTGGAGGTGCGGGGGCGCGGGCGGGGCGGTACTGACGCGGGGCGGTACTGACGCGGGGCGGTTCTGACGCAGGCGCTGTGTGTACGTGGTGCGCGCGTGCTACTACTCGTTGCTGTGGGCGCTGCACGGGGTGGAGGTGCGGGGGCGCGGGCGGGGCGGTACTGACGCGGGGCGGTACTGACGCGGGGCGGTTCTGACGCAGGCGCTGGTGTACGTGGTGCGCGCGTGCTACTACTCGTTGCTGTGGGCGCTGCACGGGGTGGAGGCGCGGGGCGCGGGCGGGGCGGTACTGACGCGGGGCGGTTCTGACGCAGGCGCTGGTGTACGTGGTGCGCGCGTGCTACTACTCGTTGCTGTGGGCGCTGCACGGGGTGGAGGCGCGGGGGCGCGGGCGGGGCGGTACTGACGCGGGGCGGTTCTGACGCAGGCGCTGGTGTACGTGGTGCGCGCGTGCTACTACTCGTTGCTGTGGGCGCTGCACGGGGTGGAGGCGCGGGGGCGCGGGCGGGGCGGTACTGACGCGGGGCGGTACTGACGCGGGGCGGTTCTGACGCAGGCGCTGGTGTACGTGGTGCGCGCGTGCTACTACTCGTTGCTGTGGGCGCTGCACGGGGTGGAGGCGCGGGGGCGCGGGCGGGGCGGTACTGACGCGGGGCGGTTCTGACGCAGGCGCTGGTGTACGTGGTGCGCGCGTGCTACTACTCGTTGCTGTGGGCGCTGCACGGGGTGGAGGCGCGGGGGCGCGGGCGGGGCGGTACTGACGCGGGGCGGTTCTGACGCAGGCGCTGGTGTACGTGGTGCGCGCGTGCTACTACTCGTTGCTGTGGGCGCTGCACGGGGTGGAGGCGCGGGGGCGCGGGCGGGGCGGTACTGACGCGGGGCGGTTCTGACGCAGGCGCTGGTGTACGTGGTGCGCGCGTGCTACTACTCGTTGCTGTGGGCGCTGCACGGGGTGGAGGCGCGGGGGCGCGGGCGGGGCGGTACTGACGCGGGGCGGTTCTGACGCAGGCGCTGGTGTACGTGGTGCGCGCGTGCTACTACTCGTTGCTGTGGGCGCTGCACGGGGTGGAGGCGCGGGGGCGCGGGCGGGGCGGTACTGACGCGGGGCGGTTCTGACGCAGGCGCTGGTGTACGTGGTGCGCGCGTGCTACTACTCGTTGCTGTGGGCGCTGCACGGGGTGGAGGCGCGGGGGCGCGGGCGGGGCGGTACTGACGCGGGGCGGTTCTGACGCAGGCGCTGGTGTACGTGGTGCGCGCGTGCTACTACTCGTTGCTGTGGGCGCTGCACGGGGTGGAGGCGCGGGGGCGCGGGCGGGGCGGTACTGACGCGGGGCGGTTCTGACGCAGGCGCTGGTGTACGTGGTGCGCGCGTGCTACTACTCGTTGCTGTGGGCGCTGCACGGGGTGGAGGCGCGGGGGCGCGGGCGGGGCGGTACTGACGCGGGGCGGTTCTGACGCAGGCGCTGGTGTACGTGGTGCGCGCGTGCTACTACTCGTTGCTGTGGGCGCTGCACGGGGTGGAGGGCGGCGGGCGCGGGCGGGGCGGTACTGACGCGGGGCGGTTCTGACGCAGGCGCTGGTGTACGTGGTGCGCGCGTGCTACTACTCGTTGCTGTGGGCGCTGCACGGGGTGGAGGCGCGGGGGCGCGGGCGGGGCGGTACTGACGCGGGGCGGTTCTGACGCAGGCGCTGGTGTACGTGGTGCGCGCGTGCTACTACTCGTTGCTGTGGGCGCTGCACGGGGTGGAGGCGCGGGGGCGCGGGCGGGGCGGTACTGACGCGGGGCGGTTCTGACGCAGGCGCTGGTGTACGTGGTGCGCGCGTGCTACTACTCGTTGCTGTGGGCGCTGCACGGGGTGGAGGCGCGGGGGCGCGGGCGGGGCGGTACTGACGCGGGGCGGTTCTGACGCAGGCGCTGGTGTACGTGGTGCGCGCGTGCTACTACTCGTTGCTGTGGGCGCTGCACGGGGTGGAGGCGCGGGGGCGCGGGCGGGGCGGTACTGACGCGGGGCGGTTCTGACGCAGGCGCTGGTGTACGTGGTGCGCGCGTGCTACTACTCGTTGCTGTGGGCGCTGCACGGGGTGGAGGCGCGGGGGCGCGGGCGGGGCGGTACTGACGCGGGGCGGTACTGACGCGGGGCGGTTCTGACGCAGGCGCTGGTGTACGTGGTGCGCGCGTGCTACTACTCGTTGCTGTGGGCGCTGCACGGGGTGGAGGCGCGGGGGCGCGGGCGGGGCGGTACTGACGCGGGGCGGTTCTGACGCAGGCGCTGGTGTACGTGGTGCGCGCGTGCTACTACTCGTTGCTGTGGGCGCTGCACGGGGTGGAGGCGCGGCCGGAGCCGGGCGCGGCGGCGGCGCTGCGCGAGCGGCTGCAGGGCTACGCGGCGCACTGCAAGGACATCGTGGCGCGCGGCATCACGGCGGAGCTGAAGGAGGAGGCCTACACGAGCCTGTGCGACCTGCTCATCCTGTTCGCGGAGCACTTGGTGACGCTGCATCACCCGGGGGACCCGGACATGCGCCAGCTCGTGTTCGAGCCGGACACGGAGCTCTGCGACATGCTCAACGCCTTCATCCAAGAGTTTGTCTTCGTCCAGCACAACTACGGTAAGCTTTTCTAGTTTACGCAAGTTCTTTTGATTGTGACGATATCTGTTGCACTACTATTATTCAATAGTATTTCTCTATTTCCCGATACCACTTTGCAAATTGGTTCATGCGTCGGTTCATTGCTTGTACTTTTTGGTAATGGTCCAATAATGTGTGGATGGGTTCGCCGCGATCATGCGGAAGAGATGCGCCTCAATGTTGGCGCGCCTGCGTTCTTCCTCCAATGGCATCCTGAGTGTGTTCGTTGACCGGTGGGACTCTCCCCTGTTACGTAGGTGGATAAGTGTCCAGACTCACTTATCCAAATAAACCAATGAACATATAATTATTATAATTTACTAACATTAGGCTAAGTTGTACTACTACTAACATAAATATGGATGTTTTTATCTGAAATAAAAATTTTGAATTTGAATTTGAATTTGAATAAGGCTAAAAGCTCGAAAAATAATATTCACATTACTTCATTCGCAGGTTTATTCGGGTTTTCTTATTCATGACCTTTCAATACCATGTAGAGTACAGTCTGTACGAATAAATCGCACTAGTGAGGTATTCCATCGTGTGACTTCATTCGAACACGTTGTCGTATGATTGTAAGTGAGCGAGTTTATAATTATCATTTGGCGTCTGACATTTTGGTCAAAAATTACACTTAAACTACTTATTAACATAATAATATGCAATTTGTACTAGTGGAGAAACGGTTCAAAAATATCCGAAATTTATAATGAATATCAAAATATCGTATATTTATGATATACAGGCTGTCCCTAAAGTCAACGATCAAATCGCACCAGATGATTGACAAGTTTCCAGTAGAGTTTTAGGTGCGCCTTGGGTACACTACAATCAATTTTAGTAAATCCAAATATATTTTTTTAAGAAAAGTATATTATTTTTAAGTGGAATTTAAGAAATACTATATCAGGGTGTCCCTGAAGTCGACGATCAAATGGTACCAGATGATCGGCAAGGTTCTAAGACACCAGAAAAATATATAAAAAATTCCAAGTTATATAGTTTTAAGTCACAATGACTTACGTTTGTGCAGCCTGTGCCAGTCTTTTGACTCTCGCTGCTACAATTCTTTATTTTTCCGTCTGTATTTTTGAATACGATATCCTGAATAGTGCTTCAGTATTATGGAATTGTAAATTCTTCGCCAACTGCTCTAGTTTGAAAAAAAAAGCCGTTTTTCTACGAAACAACGGCGTGTGACTTGTCTGTCCATGCAACTGGGGTTAAACATCAAATATTCTTTAGAGAGACGTGATGCACAAACTTGTTCCTCCAGCAATATCCCCGACGAATGCTGTGAGTGAATTATGAGTAGACAGACGATGTGGTTTAACAAGAGATCTTCGCTGATTTCCAACATGTTTAGCAACATGATGATGTCATGTCGCATGCAAAGTGTTACCTAATGGATACAAGGTTTTTAGGCACACTTTGGGCGCACTAGAATAAATTTTTGTAGGTCCTAAGTCCAAACAAGTTGTTTGAAACGGAGTTTAGTTGAAAAATATATTTTTTTGTGTCGTATTTAAAGAATAATGTAGGGAGTGGCATACCATTTTAGAATCCTTATTAAATGCGCCAATTTTGATGTACAAATTCGTCAAAAAATCATTTTTTTTCCCAAACTAAAGCATTTGGCCCAGAATTTATGATCCCATAATACTGAAGCACTATTTAGGATATCGTATGCAAAAATACAGACGGAAAAATAAAAAACTAGCAGCATGAGTCAAAAGGGTGGCATGAGTCAAACTGACACAGGTGTACTTTTTCGTGGATAACACATAATTCGTGGTAATTTAAGAACTATGTCTTGGATGTTTTTTATATTTTTCCGATAACTGTTGGAACATTGTTTATCACCTGGTGCCATTTGTTCGTCGACTTCAGGGACACCTGTATATCACGCACGATATATATGCATTCAGAAACATCACGGTTCTTATTGAAAAATTGTCCTATGATCCCTGAAGTACGTAAACGGATAAATAAAAATAGATTACAATTTAGATACACATCGGCTGCGTGTCGTCGCAGGCGTAGTTAGGTGGCATCTTGTGTTATGTGTCTGTTCACACAAGTGCCAGTACACACTGAGCGAACATCGTGTTGGCGAGAAAAAATATGCATTATGACCGCGAGGCGGGAGTTGTAGTAGTCGGCGCAGAGTGCTGCCATAACGGTGTGTTGTGTTGCATGTGGCGGCCGGCGCCGCTCCTCGTGGGTAAGCAGTTGCTCCGCTCGTTCCGCACTAGTACACCCCGACGGCGTATTTTACCTTAGTAATGCCCACGGCCGGGGCGGGCGGACCTCGCCGCCGCGCTACTATAATGCATATTTTTGTCTCGATGCGACGCCCGGAAGTCGCTCTCGTTTCGCGCAGTCTCGTTTGTGTCTCACTTAACATTACTAAGGGAAAATTGTCGCGCCCGCTTCATACACGCAATCCGACACCGGTGGCGAATAAACCAATGCACTCCGCGGCGGGTGGACAGCGCGACCCTCGGGCTCAATACGGGTGTGGGGCCTGGGTACCAGGGACCCTATCATATTTTGGTGACGTCAGTATTCGCTCCCGGTATCGAATTGCGTTACTATTGTATAACACATTTAACAAGTTTTTGATTTGAGCATGCGTTGTGCAGGGTCTCTATTGCGAGGACCGAATCATGTTTAACTAATTCATATGTAAGAAATTATTTTATTTTGCGCTCATTTTTAATTTCGCCGAGTAATGCAATGCCTGCATTGCCACGTGTGTGACGTCTGGCACCGCCATACAGTGACTAGTTACAAGTATGCACGCGTGTGACGATGCTGTATTATTGTGGCTGTAGCTAATTAGCCCTCATTGCCTACAACTACGACTTGGCTGACTGCTTCACTTTGTGTCGTGTCAGATTGCCAGACTGTAGTTACTCCAGGCTTGTGTACTGCACAGGGGTTGCGGGCGTGTACTGGCGCTTGTTATGCGTAGTGACTAGAGTGACTGGCGAGTCACTGCCACGTAGCGTAGTGCATGCCGCTGTAGTGTAGCCGGGACTCAGGCCGCTCTAACACTGCATTGTGCCCAGTAGACATCACCTGTCGGTGTCCGCTCCGTCTCACCGTACTGATGGTTTAGTGTCTTTGTTAATGGTCCAGTGTCACTCGACACCGTGTTAACTGTAACACGGTATAGAACATACTGTATACAGTACAGAGCGGTCACTGGATCGCTCTCGCAAAAGTTCCATATGAAGCAAGCCTAATTAGTGTTTACAATGGTAAACATAAAGTCATGAAAAGACAGTAAACCATTACGTGTGGATAGTATGGTGGTTGTCGTATGAGTGTGATGTATATAGCCGAGTGCGTGTTGCAGATGGTCAAGACGAGAGACGTATCGAGGAACTCCACAAGCGACGCAACTTCCTGGCCGCCTACTGCAAGCTCATCGTCTACAACGTCGCGCCCATCCGACGCGCTGCAGACGTCTTCAAGCACTACATCAAGGTCAGCTTATGATCAAACAGCTAAGATTTCATTTACGTACGTTTGTAATAGACAATAGTATGTTGATGAAAAATATTTATTTATTTACAGTGCTACAATGATTATGGCGACATTATCAAGGCGACCCTGAGCAAGGCCCGCGAGATTAACAAATTGAACTGTGCGCTGACTATGGAGTTGGCCATGCAGGCGCTGTTCAACGACATGCTACAGAAACACGCCGGCACCACGCCGCATCGACAGATGCCCGAGATGTTGGAGCTCAAGGTGAGATCCAGAGATATAGAGAGGTATAAATGTACAAGATCGCGGCGCGGGTCGTCTACAACGTAGCGTGTTACAGGAGCTGGCCAAGCGGTTCTCCGTGATGTTCGGGCTGGACGCCGTGAAGAACCGCGAGGCGCTGACGGCGCTGCACCGCGCCGGCATCGCCTTCGCGGCGCTGGAGCAGGGCAGCGGCAGCGGGCCGCCGCCGCGCCTGCTGTTCCTGGAGGCGCTGGCTGAGTTCTCGGGCAAGCTGCTGCGCCAGGACAAGCGCCACGTGCTGCGCTGCCTGGACGCGCGGCTGGGCGGCGCGCTGGGCGGCGCGCTGCCGGGCGCCGGCCGCGCCGACGACTGGGCGGCGCTGCTGGCCTACCGCGGCTCGCTGCTGACGGACGCGCCCGACGAGCGCCCGCCGCCCGCGCGCCGCCACTACGCGCGCCGGCCCCGTGCGTAGCGCTCCCTCATTACACCAATAATAAACTAACATAGCATCACGCCTTTTTATCCCCGAAGGGGTAGGCAGTGGTGCATATTACGGCGCTTAACACTTGCCACTGTACAATGTAACATCCACTTTTCACTATTTATGTTATGTAGTCCCATGTAATAGGGGGTGATCCTATTGCCATATACTAGACACAAGTCCAGACTCCTTGCTACTACTGAGTTTTTTTTAATTCCAGTAATATTTCGAATAATAATCCTTTCTAAAATAACCTATTATTGTTCGGCATTGCAGGAGGTCAGAACGAGGATGAAGAGGCAGACGACAACGTGGAGTCTGACCAGGAGCAGCCCGGGTGACAGGGACGGGGGACACCCACTGTCCACGTAGTGTAGTCTAGTTACTGGGACACGGGCACTGTGGGACAGGGACCACTTTGTTGACTCATTCCCTGAACACCATGTTTTGTTTATTTATGTACTTTAAGGAAAAGACCATTGACACAATTTCACCACAAAAAATAATTATAAACACTACACAATTCCATTATGTATTTATAAATAGAATGGACACTGAAAATGTTTGTGTTGTTGATTAACATGATTATATTATAGGGTGCAAGTAACTGTTCGGTAGCAACTTGATGACAATACATTAAATAATAACGCCAGTCACACTAATGTACCAGATTAAATAAAGTCTGATAAAATTAGAAATAAATAAATATGGATAAAATGTAGTATAATATATTAATAATGCCAAATCCGACGACTGGCATGAGCATTACGTTCATAATGTAACGTAACGTTTAAGACGACAGTGTTATAATGTGACGTTATATCAAATAATATTCGTTCTTATATCGAATTATTGTTACGACGAAATGTTTCAAATTAGTCGTCGCTTTTATAAATGTAACTAAAGTGGTGGGATCCTGTCAAAGTTCTTTTCCCATATAAATTTGTCATAAATCCAATTGATTTATAAAAACTACATGTTGAAAATTACAATTTGTTTTTAGTTGGTACAGGAAATGTAATGTTGGCTTATATCGAATTGTTCCAGTTGCATAATTATAATATATTGTATTTTTATAATAAATTACATTTGTAATATGTAATTGTTTTATTGCATTCACACTTGGTTCTAATTGTAATAAATACTGTGTTTGCTCATCGCCACAGTGTAGATAGTGTAACGTACCTCTGTAGTGGTATGTGGTACACGATTTTGTACAACACTAAATAAAATGATTTGAATTGATATTTTATTTCATTACTTATTCGTAAAGTAATGGACGACTGCGCGGCTGGCGATTTCCGAATGGAACAACATTATTTTGTGATTAAGAAATTGTTCTTCAGGGTTATAGTGCGATGGGGCGATAGTGCAAACACATTACGTCACGCAAATTTGTCACGTCAAAATTATGAGACTCCCACCTCTAATGTGACGTTACATTTTACATATAAAAAAACAGTGGTTCCAAAATAATTATATAATAATATTAACATTAAATCAAATAATTAGTTTACAGACATGTATTTAGGTAAGTTTTTGAAATATGAATATAATAAGTCACGAAATTAAGGTTCCTCCCTACCCCTTTTCACACAATGTCACACTTTGTGGATGGGTCCCTTCCCTTTAACTTGTCTCGTAATTGTAGTATTATTGATAGATAGTAGTATTGACGGAAGTTATAAAAAATTGAGAATACAAAAGCAAGTTTAGCTACTCGACGCTAGATGGCTCTGGCACATGTAATTTTTTTGGAGAAAATCATCGAATGACTGCTCCCGCCTAATAATTTGATAAATACTCGCCAAAATTAAATGATAACTTTTGTGATTCACAATACTTATTAATTTACAATTGGATCGCAGAACTTTCACACTTATTTTATATTTGTAAATTTGGATTCGAATTTAGGAACGTGAGAATGGCAAAATATCTACTAGTTATATATTTTAATTTTTGAACAGTTCAATAGTAATCACGTCGGTTTCTTTATGAAACATCATTAAATACTAACATTTATTTTCAAAAATATACCAATTGCTAAAAATGTTCCTGTATTGTATAATGCCTACACCCGGGCATAAGTTACAGGGCGGTGCATCTATCTATATAGTATAGAATATAGATAATAAGCTCGTCGGCAGCTGGATTATAATTTTATTTAGGTACTAATTTCGTTCTCTACGAGTTTGATATATTCGTTCTGTGAGGACCACTTATTATGACATTACAAGAACCTACTTACAACTTTATATTCTTAAATGATTGACATACCTAATGTAAAAGTGTAACTTTGTAACCCACATTTTGCAGAAATAAATATAATTCTATTTTTGAAATAAAATGAAATATCTTACCTTAGATATATTTTCACTACAATAACGTTGTTTACCTACTCTCGGATGCTGAACATAATATACCTAGTTATACCTAACTATTCTCCGAGTAAGTAAAGTCTTCGAATAATATGTTTTCCAACTGTACAGCCTTTCTATGGCTTGGTTTCGAAAAAGTATCAAAATTTACCAAAATGACACGCCTGGGAATCGAACTCGCGATCATGGTCTCAGCTGGGCAAAAAAAGAATTCCTTATCTCGTCAGTATGCTTCATAATCATAACACACCACCCCGCCTTTATAAATATCTTAGTGTAGCGCCATCTATCGGAAGTTTATAGTTGACACAATTGGGTACTTGCCAATTAGTTAAATTCAATACTTTTTCAAACTGTGAAAAACGACAATTTCCTATGAGTTTTGTACGAGATTGCATGTTGTGAAGTCACCTTTTTTAGCGTCAAACAGAATACTTATTTCTTAAAAATTAGCTGGAAAAATACTAAAATTTAGTTGGTCATAATATGAATTAATGAAAATGTCATTATTTTTTAATATTTTATTGTATTCAACAGTCGAAATAATTTATTTTTGATTACCAAAGAATTATATCTTATTCATAACATGACGATAAACGGTAAAATAAAATAAAATAAAATGCCTCGTTGGCCGAATGGTCGCAGGTGCCACTGCCGAGAAATGGGTTTCGGGTTCGATTCCCGAGTCGGGTAAAGTACTACTGGGTTTTGTCTGGAGTATGAAATTGTGCTCGGTATATGATAATAGGCTCATCTACTGTTAGATACATGGGACTCATAAATATAAATAGTGAAAAGTGAGTGTTACATTTACATTGTAGGTAAAGTGACATTAAGTGCCGTAATGTACACCTCTGCTTACCCCTTAGGGGATAAAAAGGCGTGATGTTATGAAATAAAATAAACTAGACTAGGTATTTGCCTTCTTATCCACCGCTTGTCCTCATTGAAATGTTATTTTTTTAATGTAGGTACATGTCCTCAGTGAGTACCTAGTAATGAGCTTTGATGTAAGTACGGGGGTACTAATATATTCTACACGGGGCTTCCAGAAGTATATTAACCCGTGTATGTGTGCGGGGAACGCAGATCTACACGAGACACAACGTGTTTGCTATTGTGTCTCACATACCGACATTCCCCTGCTTAGGGTCGATATTTCCAACGCCAGGTAAATTGTAACTGAGGAATAACTCTGAACATTTGACAATTAAAATACTTACTAAATATCTACTATCGAATGTCAATTTTATTCTTTAGTTAGAAAGTAACTGATGATTGCAAAATCGGCCCTAAATGTAGTGTAAGTAATAATGATGAGTTGATCGTGTGAATAACTTTGGTTAAGTGCATATTGTTACTATGTCTCACATAGACTGGCATGTAAAAGTGTGCTCGCTCCAAAACCTTTATTGTTGTGCCCGACAGGGCCCACATTGTGTCCTAATTATGTATGTTTACACCTAAGTAATACACGTGGAAAGCAATAAAGTATATATTGAGTATTGAGTAAGTATAACATCTACTATTTGCTACGCTACTTATACGGAGGGCTTTGGGGTAGTTATGGTGGACGTAACATTAGGTATGTTCAATCAAAACATTGCAAACACAATAAAATGCCTATAATATTATGATGAGAATTAAATAGTTCCCAGACCAATAGTGAAACGGGATGGCATGAGATGATAGGTACGGGCGCGTTTGGTTTATTATGCTACTTCCTTGCAGGCTGTCCTCTACCGTCTGCTGTCTGAAGCGGCAAGTAACACTAGTCCTGTATATGTTTACAAAGGTGCGAGGTGGCGCTGTATCGTCGGCGTGTGTACTTGTGTAGTGGGTAAGTTACGGGCGGGAGGCGGACGAGGCGGCGCACGCGCAGGCCCCGCCTGGCCTCGGCCGCGCCCCGGGCCCCGGGCCCCGCGCCCCGCGCTCCCTCTTACTAACGTTGCAGGTAAGCATTATGTTTGTTTGTTTGTTGCTTGCTCTAGATAGCTACAGCCCACAAGTATCATTGTATTATACATTTTTATATTAGATACATATCGGTATATTTAAGCCAGATGTAGATAGATAGGTAAGGACTTACGTTTTGAATATATATTTTTATTTTTCCATTGTGAAGTAACTATTTTGTATACAGTTCTTGACGAAGGGCTCATTGTTTGGATAGCAACTACGTAGCTGTGTGCGTGTGTGTGCGTGTCTGTGTGTGAGCACGAAGGTCGCAGGCATTACCCTATTATTACTTATACTTCTCACATATTAGGGATGTCGGTACGTTCAATTTACAGGTACTTACTTACCTTACTTTCGTATGGTTTCATGAAAACAATTAATGGAAACGGAACATCTTATATTTGTATTATTTATTAACAGTATCACGTAGTTAGGTACCTACTTATTGTACCTCACAGTAACCACAGCCATAACACATCAATAACAAAATTAATAAATTAATAAACTTTGTACACTTCAATGACAATCATAAAATAAAAAATATAAATTACAATCGTTTCTATTTACACCACTAGGAACCGCAGCAAGCAGGCTATATTTACATCTGCTTTAATTTTGCCATTTTATAAATTAGTTAACATAAATATTAGGTACTACAGAATAACAACGGTGACGTAATAACGCGACACTACCCTGTGCGGTGAGATCTGTCGTCGTGATCCACAACAAACACTCGGCGACTACAATACGTGGAGTTATAAAGTAACAAGAGTCACTGTGACTCGGCGGCGGTGCTGACGCTGTGCCTGATGCAGGAGCAGCCGACGGACACGTTGATGACGTAGGGGCGGAACGATTTGGCTTTCATCACCAGCACGGAGTCCTGAACTTCGGTGCATGAGAACTGCGCGCCGCTGGCCAGTGGGAAGGCGCCGCAGCAGCGCATGCGCAAGCCTTTGGCGGCCGGGCACATCTCATATGGGTCCGCGGCGCACTTGATGACTTTAATCGTTTTTGGGATTCTGTCCAGGTCCTCGTCAATTTCCACCACTGTCCTGCAAACGGCTTTGTTAATTGCTATAGGAAGCGTCATGCTCTTAGGCTTGGCAGACACGAAGGTAGCGGCCAGCGTCAGCGCCAGCGCCACTATGATGATACAATTCCGGTACGACATGTTCATTGAGGAAAATGAGTCGGGCTCGTGTTCGTCCGTCGAGATAACTCGTGAAATGTTGCGGTGAGCCGCTCGTGCGCTGTTATATAGGTATCCGCCGGCCGACGCACAGCTGTGTCATCACTAGGTACTACTTCTTCCTTACATACCTACATTTCAAACATCAGAAATTCCAATTTGCGTATGTGTAACATTTTACGGAAAAGTAGGTAAGCACCGAGGTATAGCATCTTTCCGTATATAAAAATTATTATTGACCGAATGAGATTATCTACAAATAATTAACAGATGGGTACAGGTACAATAGGTAGCGTTAGGTAGGCCCTTAAAGCATTGGGTAAGTCACAACAGGGTGAGTAATTGTTTATCATTTCTTTCATGTAGATACTTAGTTCATAGCATCGTGAACATCGCGTAGTCACTGACGTCGTACACTGAGTATGAATGTAAGCCCCTAGCACGGCTTGAAACCAGTCGAGTTACCTCGTCCAAGTAAACCGATAAAATAAACATATTTATAGAGATTAACTGGCCCCCTTGTGGCGACTGACATCTGTCGTCAGAAATAGTGGCAAGCAGGCAGAGAGACACCAGGGTCAGGGTGCATGCCGAACCCTCAAGTCTGTCATGCTCCACTACTCATAGTGGGAGACTACAACTCCTCGACTGCAATACATATGGAGCGGTAATCATTGGCATTCATTTTACTTTAAAAACCGCTAAGCCGACTTATGTATAGTTACAAATTGGTTATTGTCCAGGTAGTAGGCGCGATGAAATAATAAATATTTCATGGCACTACCTCTATAATAGGCAATGCGTGCATGTGTCAGGAAATAAGTACTTACTTACGTATTCATTCAAATTCATTTAATCATTTGCAAACATGGGTTCATAATATAGGTCGTTAAAGAAGTTTGTAGTTTCTCCATATTTCGCCTTTTAATAATAATAATTATTATTTTAAATTAGTTATAGTTAAACTAGAAGTTTCAACTTTAACATAGCTGTTATGTTGGATTATAAGTGCGACAACTGATGTTTTTACATTAGTATGAGGTCATGTAATGTCTAATGATTCCACTTGGATTCTTGTAAAATGAATAACGATGTAGTATGTAGTACTGCGACGCCCGCCCCGTCGGCGACCGGGGGCGCCTAGCAACGCCACTAATTGGGAAATCTTTGAAAAATATCAGTAAATCATTGTAGAGGTTACTCCGCCAGACTGTTTGTATACACGAGATAATGGAACCTAACGAGTGAGCGATTACGATCAAACTACCAATAATTTCCTCACAGGGTACAACGTTACTGCTTTATATATTATGCCCTAATTCTTTACTTCTCAATAATATTTGAGTAAATATTAATTAATCATACGTTTGTAATATTGAGAAATGACTCTAGAATCTATACAAAGTCATCCAGTCTACCATTCTGAATTTCGACGTTTTCGATACTCTAGAGTAATATGCCGATGAATGTAAGTGTAGGGCAACATTCCTCAAAAGAAAACAATCTTTCTTTAATAGAGAAGAGGCTCTAGCTTCATTTCTTTTTTTAATTTTATATTCGGAATGTACCCAACCAGTCAGCATAAAAATTGCTATAAGTTGACAAATAAAATGAACAAATGGAACTTGTCCTGTTCATATGTAAGTACCTATATGTTTTTGTGGAGTACACAGGTAGGTATATTCAATATATTTATGGACCTACATGTGGGACGTTGACCTGGCGATCACAGATCGTCGGGCCTGGTAGTGGCATGCCTAACTTTCAGGGGATTCTATTTGCATTGACCAGTCACCTCTTTCCTCCATGGAGAGAGTCAGGTCAGGCAGAAACGAAACAAGTTCCGCTAATGGCCAACAACCTGTGACTCCTCTGGTGGTCCATGGGCGGCGCTGATCGCCTCAGGTAACCCTATACATACATATATGTTCCTGACATATACTATACTTCATCCATGACCACATTTATCCGTCTGCTCATATAATACTACTTAGGGGGATAGTTATCGAATGTTACTTCTCCTTCCCTTGATGAGGCGAGAGAGTGTCAGCCTCTTACTGGCTAATATCCGCGTTGATACTACTCCTGCTTCCAGCCGGAGCGTGGTAACGCTTGCGGTGCTCCCCGGCCTCGACACTTAGTTAAGACCACTTGGTACGCGTTCTAGAATCTTGTGTCAGTGTCAGTAGTATCAGTGACACTATGTTGTAATAAGTTGGTGTGTTATATAATAATAATTATATTACAATAACACGAGGGATCACTGTACTTAGGTTTGTACCTAATGGTTCGTAGGGAAACCCTGCTAGGTGTTTCAGGAAAGTAAAATATTAAATATAATTGTGTATTCTGGATTATTGAAGATTTTATGAATATACTATGTATAAAATTATATATCATCATCATCATATCAGCCACAGGACGTCCACTGCTGAACACAGGCCTCCCCCAATGACTTCCAGACAGGCTGGTTGGAAGCGACCTGCATCCAGTGGCTCCTGCGACCTTTACCAGGTCGTCTGTCCACCTAGGACCACATTATATTTAACCGTACGGAACATATGTACTTTGTGCAACAATATAGTATAAAGGATAAAATTTTCAATTTATTCTCAACCTTGTATTTTTGTACTTACCTACCACCTATATAAAATGGTTCAATGTTATACTGTATAGATAGATACCGAAACGAATGGGAAATAATATAACTTGTTATACGTGTACCTAGGTGCCGTTATCTACATGTTGTAGCAGGACGTAATGTGGGGTAAGTACATAATATCTCAACGTTGAACTAATTAATATTTTACACCCAATTTTGGACTTTAGTTGTAGTCAGTGAATTATGTGAAAAGGTGGATGTGAACGTTACGAATGGTCGCGTGTCTTGCCGGCTGACTCACCGCACACTTACTCATCGGCGCCGACACTCCTCGGACCTTAGAACACAGACTCTTAAAATCTTATATACTTTCCCTATATTTATATAATATATTGTACAGAACATCAGTGTAGTAACCATATATTGGTTAATACCTCGTACCAAACATACCAGCGAGGTCTCAAGCTACAGTTTTACTTTGGTCCCGTGTATCATCAGTGCCAACTATTTTATACGAGTACCAAGTGGCCGACTCCCAGACATCAGCCATGTGTCTTCGTATAAGCAACTATATATTGGCACCAAATCAGCTGTTATTTTGACAATGAATGTATTGTAGTGCTTCTGATTAGATAACGAGTGACGAAGTTTTATAGTTATCGTGGCGAAGTGAAAATTTATCAATAAATATAAATAGGCAAATTTTAGTATTGTAATATTGTCTGTTATATAAGTATAAAGTATTATCTATAAGATTAAAAAACATAGTATTTTCTCAGCTTTCACGTTTACAAACGCATGAGCTACGTTTGTACTCTTGTTTAATTTTAATAATAAAAATAATGGAACGGATTGATGTATTATGTCGATAGACATAACTTTATGTTCATAGGTTATATATTTATCTGTATACAGGCGGGTGCCCGGTGATGATGTCACAACAAGGAGATATACAAGGAAACCACATATTTATAAAAAACATATTTTAATTTTTTAATCAACATTTGCCGAGGCCAGCTCTGGCATTTCTGTTTACATAGTTGCGCCTGCGCATATTTGGTAAACTTCACAATACAAACTATATCCTTAATACTACGAGTTTTTCACAGACTTGTCAACATTAAATAGCTACTTACTTGTCTACGCTAGCACAGTACACTAGCGGCTTCCGGCGGGCCGGTTCACAACCATAAATAAATAATAAATTAACTGCGAGTATTACAGGTCCATCGTCAATTACAAACACTCACAAAATAAATTATTGGAATGGTGCACAATGCATAGGAACTTGTGTGTGCCCGCTCGCGGCGCGGGCGACCGTCGCGGCGGCGGCAGGCTCACGACACCTCCGCGGCCGCCGTCGTCTCCTCGATGAGGCAGGTGCAGCCCACCGGCACCTTGATGACCTGCGGGACGTCGTTCCCCTTGAACGTGACGTGCACCCAGTCGTAGATCTCCACGCACTCGGTGACGAAGGCGTGGTGGTGCTGGCGACAGCATCCGTGCGAGATGTGGTGCTCGGTGCACAGCTTGTTGGGCCGCGCCGCGCATCGCAGGTACTTGATGCGGCGCGGGATGCGGTCCGGGTTGTCGTTGATTTCCACCTCGATCGGGCACATGGTCTTGTTGACTACGTCCGACAGTACGAACTCTTTCGGTTGCGGCCTGGCCAGTACGTAGGCGGCCGCCAAAACTATAGACGCTGCGATGAACAGATATCTTTCGTGCGACATGTTTTACGTGTTGGGTGATTGGAGTGTATCGAGTGGTAACGTGCGCTCTCGTAAAGGCTGAGTTGCGAATAGTAGGTGTGGTATTAAGACGTCGACTTATATCCGTGCACCCTTCTCGGCGGCGGGCGGGCCGTCGGAGGCGCGGGCGGGCGCGTGGCGGCGGTCGGCCGCCGGCGGTCACACGCGCTCAGACGCGGGCCGGCAGCGCGCGCGCTCGCTCCTTCCAGTCCGCAGCGGCCGGCGCTTGTGACTTTACATCGCTGCGTCTCTCACTTGTTGCACTTTGCGCGTGTTTATAAAACTGTGCAGTGAAGTGAATCTATGTTTGGTTACGAAGTTGGACTGTAGTGATATATTCGGGACTGTAAGATATTGTATACGCTGTGTGATGTTTATTTGGACAACAATTAGTGTCGGACCTGTACCAGTATGTACTCAAGTATACAATGTTACATTCGTTACGTGGAGACCTATCGAGTGATAACATGACACGATGAGTCGGTGACAGTTGCAGGTGCGCCACTCGAAGGCAACGATTGTACTAAATCTAGGTTCGATGTGAAATGTTTTGTAAATAAGCCATAATTGATCAAATATGTTTCTGTGCTTCTATATTTTTACTTCCCTCAGAACCCGTATATAGTGAGACAGAGGGCGGGAGTGTGCGGCCCGCGGCGGTGTGGAGAGATGTAGTTACGTATATACCGTTATGGTCGTTACGGTTTGTTTACAAACATTTCACATCGAACATTGCCTGAATATTGTAGTGTTTTTGTTAATCGCGTATTTCATGTAAATAATATAATTCTGATATAACTCGATTGGTCGCACACTCGCACACAGTTTTTAATATTTAAATATGTACTTATTTAAATTATGTACAGGACTCGGTTGCATTGTGTATCAGTATGTATGTATTGATAATTGTTCCTGACACTACGCCTGTGTGCTCGCACACTACTACAACTGTTTAACATATTGGTTCAAGTCAGTTCGCACGCAGTAGTCAGTCGCTACGAGCGTGTCTCAGCGCTCCTCAATGGCTCACTTTAGGTCTCGTCACAGCAAAGCTGAATGTCAATGAACTCTGTCCTTATCTAACATTTTGTACTTGTTTGTGTTTGTTTCATACCCGCATGCTGTCATCGGTTGTTGACTAAATTCACTCGTCGTCATGTGATCTATAATAATCATTGTCGAGATCGATCTCATACGATACTAACTACATTATGAATATGATGTAACCGGCGCGTGCTCGGTCAGTAATCAGTAGTTGCTGGTGTGCGAGAGAGACGGCACCACGCGCGGCATGCATCCTGCTCGCACGGTGTCATCAGTTGTCAGTAGACAATACTTAGTACTGACTATTAACATTAAAACTCGTTTCGCAGTCGCACTGTATTACACTCGTCATTTACTATCACTTTGATGGCTTGAATTTAGTTATTAACGTTTTGTAGAACACTACTGGCATCCATACACGCTGGATATAGATTGATTGAGTAATTACTGTTAACTAGAAAATATAATAGTGGCTCATCAAATAATTTTTAACACTCCACTAAAGGTCTGACCGCCGTCCTCAGAGTCATATAATGATATTACTTCATTATTCCTTAGTCACTACTTTGTTCCAAAAACAATTGCTAAGTACTGCAATTAGTATTTTATTTATACGAAAATGTCCCACAGGAAAAACACTCCAAGAGAAAAGTGAAAGTTTAAAAGAATAATTTTGAAGCGTAGTTTCCCGTAGCGCGGCTACGCAGACTGCTACGCGCCGTAGTCGGTGCTACGTAAGGGTTACGAGGGAGTTACATAATTTGTTATCAAGTTACTGGGAGAAAGTAATTGAACACAACTATTGTTGTTTAATGAGTATGAATACAGATGCTCTAAGTAATTGTTGTAAATACTAGAACGGACGGCGGTTCCATTCAAGTGTTCGACTAGGTAAACATGACGTGTGACAGCGTGCGTTGATAAACATTGCGCCGCTGTTCAGTCTGCGCGAGTAAGGTCAAGGCGCCGCCGCGTCCAGCACTAACACTCGTGTGTCCAATGTCTTAGTGAACAGTTTCCTGTAGTTATCGGACACAATTATTGTGTAATTAGCAATAACTAAATGTTTTCCCGTTCATTCTGTTGTTATTCATCGTCAGCGGGTTCCTCTTGGGAATACTTGCACGGTCGTAGTAATTGTTTCATTCATAATAAAGTGAAGTACAAGTAACCGCGTGTTGTTTTTATTACTCACGTTTTATTTTATTTTTAATTAATTTCGTTTGTGCCAATGTTCTTGTATGTTTATTATATTTCGGGTCCTAGTAACACCGAGTGTGGGACAGTGCTTAAAGTTTGACTCTAGGTTCACACAATTCCAGTGATAGGTGGTGGAACTTACAGTCGAACGTCATTTTATTTTAAGACGTTCTCAAGTCAATGCTCTGTCTCTACAGATTCTTTATAAAAAGACAGAGACAGCACGATGTTTAAGTACAACATAAAAGTAAGTAGCATTTCAGTATTCAGGTGTAAGTGTTTCTTCAGCAGTAATATAAGTTTGTGTGGGTTACAGAAACACAGACACAATATGTTTCATGTAAAGCTTTCATGTAGCTACCCCTTCGGGTCTAAAAGGCGTGATGTTATGTAATATGCTTAGTAAACTAGATTAGATAACCCTATTATATTATATACATACGTTACATAATACAGATATGTCAGGTATAGAGGGCTTAGAACTAATTTGCCTTTGCGCTCTGTTATCTGTGGTGTACCACATGAATGTCAATGCACTTCATATCGACAGGACTGTGGTCAACTTGCGGTTTGTTGTATGGCTGTTGTAGAGACATGTTACAGCTCACACAAATACAAATTAAAAATAAAATAAAGATGTTCGTATGGTCAAAGGTTTGAATTAACGATAGATAGCTATGTCTTCCATTTCAGCCCAAACGATATGGCATAAAATACGATAAACCCATAGAAACAATAATTTGCGCGTGTGGTCCCATGGACAAGTTAATACACTGTCCGAGGCCGCGTATGGTTATTATGGACGTAATTGATAGTATCAGCACACGGTTTTGCCGAAATATTGAACACATTCTTATAGACTGCCTCGTTGGCTGAATGGTCGCAAGTGCGACTGCCAGTCAAGGGGTCTCGGGTTCGATTCCCGGGTCGTGAAAAGTATTACTGGGTTTTGAAAAAAAATTCTCAGTAGTAGCACGGAGTCTGGAATTGTGCCCGGTATATGGCAATAGGCTCACCCCCTATTACATGGGACTCATAACATAAATAGTGAAAAGTGGGTGTTACATTGTCCAGTGGCATAATGTGCACCTCTGCCTACCCTTTCGGGGATAAAAGGCGTGATGTTATGTTATGTTATTCTTATAGAACTTAGACTAATATTACAAAGTGAGCTATAAGTTACTCCATGTTATATTTAAATAGACCAGAACAATACAAGATAACAATGTAGATGTCATAATATTTGTTTGTTAGAAAAATGTAATATAACATGGGTAAAGCCCCGCGATTAACCACCGTGGCGACGTTATCAGCGGCGCACGCGCCTACTCGCGATGCACCTGTAATTACGCATACCCCTTACTTTGCACATTTTCATATTGATTGCACAATTATGTGACGTGCCGTAACACTTAGTGTGAGTAGTGTATTTATGGTTTCATTCGCGTAGTATATAATTATAAATAACTAACAACTTTACTGTAAATTCTTAACTGATATATTGCGCTATATTGACACAATTATATTTTGTAACGTTGGCGGGATTGTTGGATTTCTATGAAAAGGATTGTCCGCTAAAATCTTTACATAGCGGGGAGTGGGAGGACGGTAGAGAGGCGTTTGCACTCCAGTGGGACGAATATGACTTAAAATTATAATAAATAACATAAACATTTTTAAATAGAATTGTTTGTATTTGAAGTAGTATTTAAAAGTAAAATGGAATAAAAATAATACGTAGTGAAAATTATGTCAACTTCTACAAGGATAGACAACTTGTATTAATTTGATTATGTTATATGATATGTGACTCCTCTGGTGTTGCGGGTATCCATGGGCGGCGCTGATCGATTACCATCAGGTGATCTGTTGGCTCGTTTGCCTCCTATTCCATAAAAAAAATATTTGGTTACTTATAAGTTCCTACATTGTGTATTTTTTTTTTATATTAAATTTTTTTTTGACTTTTAACTTTGACTTTTGACTTTGGTAGAAACATGAGTCGGGCGTACTGAGCAAGAGTTAAGTATGATCGTGCACAACTTCATCTAATTGTAGTTATACAATTAGATGAAGTTGTGCGCGATATCGCAGTTCAGTGCCCGGCGATACATATTGCACATCGAACTTTGGACATACATAATCTGCTTACTTATTGCGTTCATTGCTCGCGATTATTTAACACTAAAATCCTACTGATGTAATAAATGTGAAAGTTTGTTTGGTACTTCTTCACGTCAAAACGACTATTGGAGCAGGATGAGAATCATGGTCTGGAATAACACATTGGCCAATTTATACCGCCAAGACATGCGGGCGAAGACGCTTGCAGAAGCTAGTCAATCATAAAATTTTTGTAGAAATAAATGATCGTTATATGACTAAAATAAAAAATTGACAACTATATTCAAAATTTGATTTGCTATATATAGTACTTAATACGGAAATTGCCAACTAGTCAAATTCAATACTTTTTTCGGACTGACAAAAACGACAGAAATTTGCTGGAAAAATACTAAAATGAAGTTGGTCATAAAATCAATTAATGAAAGTGTGATTATTTTTTAATATTTTATTGTATTGAACAGTCGAAATAATTTATTTTTGATTAAGGAAATTAAGTACCCAATTGTATTGCCGGTTGGGTTACAGTAGAGTAGGAAGGTAATATATATTTTTATGGATACGAATAATGTTGTGCGATGTTTTTAATATATTTACTAATAAATAAATAGCTA